TGGCCAACGCTTCCGGTTTGGTGGCCGTGAACACCAGCCTGACCCAGGGCCTGGCCACCAAGGCAAACCAGTCGGCCCTGGATGCTCTCCAGGTCCAGGTCGATTCTAAGAGCACGCCCGCTTCGGTGGACCTCAAGCTGGCCAACCATCCCACGAATGCTGCGATGAACAGCGCCGTGACCAGCGCCAACAACGCCACACTAGCTACTGTTGCGGCCACTTATGCGCTCAAGAGTGTCGTGGACCAGCTGGCTTTGGACGTCGCCGCCCGACAAACGGCCGGGGACGTCAACCAAGCCATCGCCACCGCATTGCTCCCCATGGCCAGCACCAGCGACCTCACGGCTGGATTAGCTCTCAGAACCACGCCCGCCGACGTCAGTCAGCTCATCGTTACCGCCCTGCTCCCCTTCGTCCAGCAGACGGCCCTGGATGCGGCGCTCGCCCTGAGAGACGGCCGGCTCGATGCGGCCGAGGCGCTGCTTGCAGCTCTGCAGGGCGCCGGTTATCAGACCGCCAGCGACCTGGGCACGGCGCTGCTTGGGTACGTCACCCAGGGCGCATATAACGCCGGGCAGGCCCTCCAGGACTCCCGGCTGGACGCCGCCGACGCGGCGCTCCTTGCGCTGCAGAATGCCGGGCCCTTCGCCACCACCTCGGACCTCACCTCCCTGCAGGTCTCGCTGCAATCCGCCATCGACGGGCTCCTGGCCGAGATCGCCACGCTCGGCGGTGCCACCAATCTCGTGAACGCTCCTGCCTGGCCCGGGAATGTGACCTGGGACCTCCTGGCCGGAACGAACCAAATTAGAAACTTGCACGCCACCGCTCCCCTGAGCATCCAGCTGGCCAACGACGACTGGACCCTGTCCTTCGCCTGCGACGCCTACAGCAAGGCGGAAGCGGACGCCCTGCTGCTCCCGAAGGGCAGCGAGTCCTGGGCGCTCGCCCAGCTCGGCAGCTACTACACGACCGCGGAGACCAACTCCGCGATCACGGCGGCTCTGGCCAACTACTTCACGCGGGCGGAGTCCACGGCGAACATCGTGGCCGCGATTGCGTCGGCCAACACTTACACCGACACCCAGCTGGCCGACTACAGCACCACGCTGCAGATGACCCAGGCCATCGCAGATGCGCTGGTGCCCTACGGGACCGTGGTGCAGCGGGACGCCGCGATAGCGGCAGCGCTGGCGCCTTTCTCGGACACCGCCGCGATGAACGCAGCCATCGCGGCAGGGCTGGCCACGATCGACCTGAGCCCCTATTGGACCATCGTCCAAGTGCAGGCGGCCATCACGGCTGCGCTCGTGCCCGTCACCCTGAGCAACGGCCAAACCTGGAACGGCGGGGCCACCTTCAATTTGCTCCGGGGCACGAATGTGCTGCGGAACCTCTCCGTGGCCGGCGCCCTCACGGCGACCTTCCAAAACCTGGACGACACCATCCTCATCGAGTCGGACAGCTACGCCCGATCCGAGACTTACACCCAGCTCGAGACGGGAGCTGCAATCACGGCGGCCATCGACGCCCTGGACCTCTCCCAGTTCCAGAACGAAGCGGACGTGCTGGCCCTGATTAGCACCGCGCTGGTGCCCTACTGGGACCAGACGGAGGCCTCCGCCTACGTGGCCGGCGAGCTGGCCAACTACGCGACGAGTGCCTCCGTCAGCTCCAGCATCAGCTCGGCGCTGTCGAGCTATGATGATTCCGGTCAAGTCGACAGCAAGATCATCACGGCCCTCCTCGACTTCTACACTCGAGCGGAGACGGACCAGGAGATCGCCAACGCCCTCGCGGGCTACTACACCTCCGCCCAGACGCAGAGCTACGTGGCCAGCGAGCTCCTCGCATATTATCCCAGGAGCGAGCTGGACTCGCAGCTCACGGCCACCTTCACGCAGTACTGGACCAGCGGGCGCACCCAGACCGAGATCGACGATGCGCTCGCCGGCTCCGGCTTCCTGGACCAAACGGCGGGGGACGCCCGCTACTTCGTGAGAGCTCCCGGCGCGGAGTCGGGGCAGATCTTCAACTTGGTGCAGGAGCAGTTCACGCCCCGCATCGTGCGCAACCTGCTGCTGGAGGCGCCGCTGGTGGGCGACGCGATTCTGGGCAACCAGTCCACCCTGCGCATCCGGAGCGACAGCTGGTCCAAGGCCGAAGCGGACGGCCGCTTCCTGCGCACGAACGACCTGGGCCCGCTCGATGCGCGCTACTTCGTGACCACTCCCGGCGCCGAGGGAGGAGGCATCTTCAACCTGGCGCAGACCCAGTTCACTCCGAACATCATCCGCAATTTGCTCTGCCAAACGCCGCTTTCAGCGCAACCCATCCTGGGGAATGGGTCGACCCTCCAAATCTCCTGCGACTGCTGGTCCAAGGGGCAGTCGGACGGGCGGTATCCTCTGGTCGCCACCTTCAACAGCCTGGGCTCCACGGTCACCTCCATCGACAACCGCGTCACCACCCTGGAGAACAGCGGCGGGGTCGCCCCCACCGCCGACTTGACGGTCAACTCCCTGACGGCCACGAGCTTCGTGGACACGCCCGAGCTCCGGAGCTCGGCGGGGGACCTGCAGGTCCAGAACGCTTTGGTGACGATCCGCAAGGAGGAAGGGGCGCTGCTGGCCAGCTTCGCCGACGGCGGCATCAGCATGGACCGGGACGTCACGGTGGCCGCGGCCAGCACCCTCAACGCAACCACGGCGGACTTCGCCCAGTTCTTCGTGGGCAGCACCGCCGCCACGGGAGCCTTCAACACCAGCTCCACCATCGCGGCCACGGGGCTCGTCTCCGCCAACGGCGGCCTGGCCGTGGCGGGCACCACCACCTCCGACAGCGTGGAGCTCACCACGGAGCTGCGGAGCCCCATCGTGAAGGCCCGGCCCACGGACGACTACCTCACCATCACCGGCGGCACCCAGGGCATCTACGTGAACACGGGGGCGGTCTACATGGGCGGTGCCCTGGTGGCGGACCCCGGGCTCGTGACGACCAGCAGCTGGCTGCAGCTGGTCGGCGGCACGCAGGGCGTGCAGCACCAGTGCGAGAGGATGCAGGTGACGGGCAATCAGTCCATCGTCACCGCCGAGGTCGAGAACACCTCGGCCACGGGCTTCGCCAGGCTGCGGCTGCTGGCCAACGGGGGCCTGGGCGGCGCGGACCTGGAGGTGGCCTCCAGCGGCGGCTGCACCCTGGCGAGCATCAACCAGACCATCAGCCTCACGAACGTCGGCGGCGGCTTCAGCAGCGCAAATGTGATCATCTACCCCCAGAGCAACCCGTCGCTGCCCGGCTGGATGGTGGCCACCTACGGCTTCACGGAGCTCTCGGATCGGAGCGTGAAGACCAATGTGCGGACGCTGAAGCACCGGGACATGCGGGAGATCTTCGATGCGGTGGAGGCCAAGATCTACGACCGGTCCGACAGCGGGCAGAAGGACCAGGTGGGCTTCATCGCCCAAGAGGTCCAGGCGGCCGGGAAGCTCGGCCCCATGTTCACCCACGAGACGGACGAGGGGCTGCTGACGTTGAACTACCAGCGCATGGTGGCCGTGCTTTGGGGCACGGTGAAGGAGCTACAGAAGCGAGTGGAGGCCCTAGAGAAGAAAAAGAAGAGCAAGGGCGACTCGGATTAGAAATGGCGGAAGACGGAGCGATGGAGCTCTTAGGGCGGCTCGCCCGCGACTTTAACGTGCGGGATCCCCGCAAGCTCTTTCAGATCGCCCGGCGGGAGTTCCCGGAGCGGCGGGACCTCACGAGTGCGCGGGCCCAGGCGGCATTGCGCAGCGACGTGGCGCGGCAGGTGCTCGCACCGAAGCCGCGGAGTTTGGGGAAGAGCGCGGCGGAAGGGCCGAACGACCGCTTGCAAGCGGACCTGGTGGATTTCTCCCAGAACACGAGGGGGGCGAACAAGTACGGGCTTGTGGTGACGGATGTGTTCACCCGGGAGGTGGCCACGAAGGCCCTGCCCGACAAGCGGGCGGAGACCGTCACCCGAGCGGCCGCGGAGATCATCCCCGAGCTGGTCCAGGACGAAACCAACGTCGTGGTCACGACCGACATGGGGAACGAGTTTCGGGGTTTGGAGGCGGCGCTGCCCGGAGGCGCGGTGCACCGGCAGAAGGACCCCTCGGACCGCAATGAGGCGGCGGAAGCCTACAATGCCAGGCCGCATGCGGCGGTGACGGTGGCCCCCGAGGATGTGGAGACGATGCCGGCCGCGAGCTTCCGGGTCTATCAAGACAACGCAGCGAAGTTCAAGCACAACGATGAGTTGACGAGGAGCCGTCAGCGGCGGCTCGAGGAGGCGGGGGCGTTCCGGGCCCCCACCAATGCGCAAAGGTCCTTCCAGCCCCAGTACGGGGCGGTGCGGGAGGTTTCGAATTATGATTCGATGACGGTGCGGGCCACCGACGGTTCGGAGACCCTGCTGAAGCATGCGCTTCCTGTGCCTCGCGGCTCCGCGGAGCCTAAAGCACGGCTGACTCGGCGGCCGGCGCCGTTAGCGGTCAGGCAGCTCAGAGATTTCAACCCCGGGCCCACGGCGCCACCCGGTTGAGACACCTGAGACAGGTGAGACAAGAGCTTAAATAGACTAAAGCTGTCTCAGGCCTGTCTCACCTGTCTCATCCCTAGTATGGCAGCCTCGCTGGGGTGAGTAAAGAGGAGCGGTCGGGGAGGGGGGGTCAGGACGGCTTGAGACAGCTGAGACAGCTGAGACAAGAGGCCAAATAGACTAAAGGCGTCTCAGGCCTGTCTCACCTGTCTCATCCCTTGTATGGCAGCCTCGCTGGGGTGAGTAAAGAGGAGCGGTCGGGGAGGGGGGGTCAGGACGGCTTGAGACAGCTGAGACAGCTGAGACAAGAGGCCTAATAGACTAAAGGCGTCTCAGGGCTGTCTCAGCTGTCTCAAGTTGTCGCGGGCCGTTGTTTTCGTCAAAAACATCGCTAAAAGCGAGCCTGAGACAGCTGAGACGGCCCTGAGACAGCTTTAGTCTATTTGGCCTCTTGTCTCAGCTGTCTCAGCTGTCTCAGGCCGGGCCGGCGCCGCCTCCAGAGCATCGCATCCAGAGCATCGGGGAGCATCCAGAGCATCAGCGAGCATCCAGAGCATCAGCGAGCATCCAGAGCATCGCATCGAGAGCATCAAAACGAGGTTCAGGCTAGGGTGTGGGATGGAAACCAAAAAAAAAGCTAGACCGGCCCTATCTAAACCGGGGGGGGACGCCCCTAGCCGGCGAACCCTACACACACTGTGCACGCAGGGACGATGCAGGGCAGCCTAGTAGGGATTAGGGTTCTATGGGTTTGGGCTGAGGGCGGGGGAAACCGCGGGGGTGCAGACAAGGACGCACACACACGCAGGGCACTCGCAGGGCGGCCTAGAGGTGGGCTAGGGTTCTAGCTAGGGGGGACTCGGGCAAGGGTTCGGGCGCTAGGGACAACCGGGAAACCCCGACATGCACTCTGCGGGCCACGACCGCGGCTCGGATGGACCTGATCGGGAGTAGCTGCTTCGAAACATGACGAGACGAGTACTCCTGCGCGGCCTCGCCATCGGAATCGAATCGCGGCACGACCGCGACCTCTCGGACGGACCTGATCGGCAGCTGCTTCGAAACATGACGACACGAGTACTCCTGCGCGGCCTCGCCATCGGCATCGGATCCGGCCCCCGGTCCCAGGTAACAAAGAGCCGCTGACAAAACGAGCGCGAAACCACTCTCAGTCCTCAAGCATGCTGCGCACACAGAACGACATGCAAACACTTGAACTCCACGGCCGTCGGTTATTTATTTGTCACTCCCTCGATGCTGTGCAGCGTCGGCCGGTCGGCCCCGTCGGGGCGTCCCCTGTGCACTGGGATCATCATCCAGACTGGCCAGACCGGGCCCAAGCCCCCCGGTCACCCTCCTTGCCCCACTCACGCCCTTTCCGCAAGTTTAGGGTCTCCTAGCAAGACTATATATTATAAGGCAGACTCAAAACAAGGATTTAGACCTGTATATGCATTGAACCAAAGAAAAACGACCCGAAGCTCGCGGGGCGGTCCCCTATAGGCATGGAAAACATATACTGCGCTATCTGTCTCTATGCAAGGAGGGTGGACCTGCCAGGCTACTCAGCTACTCACGGCGCCAAGCGCCGATGCGATGACACTCGTCCTTGCAGCGCTGGCCGGGAGCAGGTGCGCCGGGCTGTCGTCGAGCGCCTTCACGCCGTTCGAGTCCGCGAAGCGGTAGTAGATCAGGTTCACGTTCGGCCGCTTGCCCTTGCTGTCCGCAGGACCCTTGCCTCTCTTCTCAACGAACCCTTCAGCCTTCAAGAGGTCCGCGGGGTTCAGCTTTCGCCGCTTCTGGTGCGCATCCGCCAGGATCTCCGGGCTGTTGTTCAGCACCTCCGACAGCTCTTCGTAGATCTCATCCCGGACTGTGGCCTTTGCCGTGCCCTGCGCCTTGATCAATCTCTCCTTGATGAACTTCCTCACCAGCTCCTTCGTGGCATCCTTCAGCTCCATCACGGAGAGGTTGTGGGAGGAAGTCGGGACGGGGCCGATCGAGCGCATCTTCACACCATGCAGGAGGTGCTTGTAGATCAGGAACAGGATGGCGAAGTACGAGGGGCGGTCGCGCTGGAGGGTGTCTTCGATCGGCTCCCACTTGCGCTCGTTGGACTCGGTGGGGACGTCCTTGAAGACGGAGACGTGCTCGATGATGTACGAGCGCTCCTTCACCGAGAACTCCGACGTCAACGGCGGCGCATGGTTGCTGGCGAAAAAGGCCACAAATTGAGGTTTGTACCTCACAAGTTTTTCGTAGAGGTCACGCCCCATCATCTGACTGTTGGGGTCCGTCATCCGCTTATACACCTGAAGCCGGATCTGCTCCACGCCGTCGACCTCGCGAATCGCCACGAATCTCCTCGCGCGACACATCGCCCACACCGGGCTCGGCTTGTTGGGGTCCGCCACGCGCAGCAGGGAGTCGAAGTCGATCGAGCAGGAGTAGGAGCCGAGGATGCACTCCATGATGTTCGCCAGGGTGTCCTTCCCGTTCCTTCCGACTCCGCGAAGCCACATCCCCGCTGCCTGGGGCATTGCAAACACGCCCTTGGCGATCAGCTCCAGCTCCAGGACGGTGGCGCCCCAATCATTCTCCGTCCACCTGTGCAGCACGGCGAGCTCGCGGATGGCGCAAGCTGCAAGCTCAAGCATCTCGCAGGCCTTCTCATCCAGGTCGCACGGCCCACTCTGCTTCGACGCTCTGAAGGCGTCGTGCTGCTTCCTGACCTCGCGGAGGGCAGCCTCCAGCCGATCCTGGGCGTCCGAGCCCCACCATGCAGGCCACTCATGCGCCCAGTCGGTCGAGCGCGTGATGCAGTGGTCCGGGTGCATGTCGATGAAGTCCATCGATCCCCGGTCGAAGAGGCGGCCCTGGAAGTTCAGGTAGCGGCGGGTCTTGTCGCCGTCCAGCTCCCAGTCCGTGCTGTGCACACCCAAGAAGCTCTTCATGGCGTTCGCCACGCTGGTGCGGAAGGTCTCGTTGCTGAAGCCCCAGGCGGCGTCGACGTCCAGGTCCACTTGGGACTCTGTGGTGTCCCAGCGCACGACGTAGTCCGAGAGGTCGCGCTGGCAGACCACCTGCACCATCCACTTCAGCACGTCCATGGCCATCGTGCCGCCGAGGATCCAAACTCTCTTGGGGGCATTGTACCATGCGCAATGCCCGGTGTCCTGCACGACCTCCTGGATGCGATGGGGAACCAGGGAGTGCACGGCCGGCGAGCGCAGCGCGACCTGGGCGAACAACCCGTGATGGCCACGCGGGGACTTGAACGCCGTCATCACAAACTTGTGATGCTCCCTCCACTGCGGATCCTCAGCCATGAAGAGCGCCCGGGTCTCACTGCTGTGACCGCCTGCATCGACCATCTCGCGCCGGGCCTCCTCGAACGCCTCCTCCACTGACAGCTGGGGCTCCAAGGTGTACTTGAACCCGTCGAGCCCGCTGTCGAGGGCGCTCATGAGCTCTGCCTTGCGCCCCGCTCGGACGTGCAAGTACAGCCCATCATGCTCGTACGCCAAAACCGTGCCGCCATGGGTCTTGATCATCATCTCGGCGCGGTCTATCAGCTGTCTCTCTCGCCTGGTGTTCAGCACGTACGACAACAGGTCTTCGGGGCGAGGGGAGAGCGAGCGCAGCGCCTCCCACAGCTCCTTGTTTCTCTCCACATCCAGGTCCCGGAGCTTATCAACCTCCGCGGCGAAGCGCTCTGCGTAGGAGAAGGCCTCGGAGCTCATCGTGTCCACGCCGTGGGCCCTCTTCCAGGCCTGCACTGTGCCTCCGTAGAGGAGGCGGAGGAAGAGCTGCTTGGCAATCCACCTCTCACTGTGAGTGGACTGCAGGCGCGCCTGGCGATTCAAGATGAACTCCCGGAGGAACTCGCTGTCGTGGCGCTCCGCGAGGATGCACACGTGGGCGTTGGCCAGGTCGAACGTGTAGTGATCCTTCAGCCCCGCCCTGCACAAGTTCCGAAACCAGCGAGGAAAGACGAAGGTGGAGGCCGCCAGATGGCCGGAGCACACGCCGGGGTCGACCAGCCTCAAGTCTGCGACCTCGTCCTTGCTTGGCTTGCCAGGGTGACGGCGGCCCTTGACCTTGAGATCAGCCATCAGCCGTTCCTCGTGGTAGATGGTCTTGTAGGTTCTGGCGCCTCCCGGAAGCACATTCTTGCTGCACTGCACCAGGATGTCGCCCAAGGCTCGCTCCACCGTTGGCCCCGTGCGCCCCAAGCGATGGATCTTGGACAGCTCCTTGCAGGCCAAAAGGTTCATCGCCGTGGCATTCACGTGGTCGAAGAGGACGAAGGCAGTCGGCGAGGTCGACACGTCCTCCGCCAGGTGATCATCTTCCATCTGCTCGTCCTTCATGAAGTCTGCACACGACAGGAGCTCATCGATGGCCTTCCGGTGCTCCCTCAGCTCGCACTCCATCGCCTCTTCGACCTTGGCGTCCCGCTCGTCATCATCTACGGCGTCACCTGCTCCGACCTCACCGATGGGCTCCGCGACGCTCGCAATCTCCTCCGGCATGTTCGAGCCCTCCGCGCTGCTCGCCTCCTCCGCAATCTCCTCCGGGACCTTCGGGCCCTCCGCGACGCTCGCCTCCTCCGCAATCTCCTCCGTGACCTTCGGGCCCTCCACGATCTCCGCCTCCTCAGCAGTGCGCTTAATGCCTCGGCGCGCTCCCTCATCGCTCTCCTCACATCCGAATCCCTGATCAGCGAAGGCAACACGCCTGCGAGCGTCCGGGCCGTGTGGAGGCTGATGTTCTGCCACTGCTTTGCGCCCGATGCCTTCATGAGGCGCTGGAGGATCAGCGCAGCAGTCCGCGACCCTTGAGCCCTGCTGTTGCAGAACTGCTGCAGGTGCACCGCCAGCTCCCCATCTGCCGAGCAGAGCAACGACCAAGCTGCAACACACCTCCAGTCCTCGGTCCCCGCCCGGTCCATCATCGCCCGCAGCTCCTCGTCGCGGCGCGCGTCAGTGTCGAAGCGCCGGCACATGTAGGACGAGAACTGCTCGGCCACAGCATCGGCGCCGAGCGCGGCGGCGCTCTGCACATCCGCCCAAGCGCTCACTGCGGCCTAGCCGGAGATCCGAGCAAAGCACACACAGACGGCAACGGCAAGCCCTCGACCGAGCCTGCGCATCGTCAGCCGAAGCCATCGCCTCGGTGAGGTCCGCTGCCACCTGACCGTCAAGGAGGCGAAGGTCAAGGGGGTCCGGGGCCGGGGGGGATGAGACAGGCGAGACAACTGAGACAAGAGCAAAACTAGACTAGTGGTGTCTCAGCCGCGTCTCATGTGTCTCATGCTCGTTTCTGGGCTTCTTTTGACGCAAAAATGCACATGGGACGAGATGAGACAAATGAGACAGACCTGAGACGCCTCTAGTCTAGTTTTGCTCTTGTCTCACTTGTCTCAGGTGTCTCAGGTCTGGTGGCCGAGCCTGCTCCGTGGCCGGCGCCGCGACATCATCGCCCGGCTTCCCCGCCGCATGGGCCTGAGTGGGACCGGGGCAAGCAAAGAAGAATCGAACCCCCCCACCCGAAGAGTTCCCACCTGCTCCGTCGCCGGCTCAGCTGCGGCATCGGGCTCCTCCATCTCCGAGGCCTGCGCCAGGGGGCGGGACTCACGAAGAACCGAATCGCTGAAGCCGGCCTGCTCCGCGGCCCACGTCGTCCCCCAGTCCCAGTACAGGGTGGAGATCTCCGAGAGATCCTCGGACCCGCCGCCGCCAGCCAGGAAGACAACGTTCTTGACGTCATCGAACCCGGTCACCCGGTACATGTCATCATGCGAATCAATCGCGGCCACCGCGGTTTCTCCAGCCGTCAACAAGGCTTGCAGCGCTGCCCTGAGGCTCTGGCCTTCGCAGAGCTGCATAATGGTGGTGCCGCCGTTGTATTCGGCCTCATCCATCTCGAACCGAAAGCCAGCGACGACCCTCTCAACCATCCGGATTGCATCCTGAGCGAGATCACCAGAGCTAAAACACCCAAGACCGCAGCACCGGACCTCCCCCGTCGGCAGGACCTGCTGCTCCACTGCATCCTGAGTGAGATCGCCAGGGCTTGTAAAAAAAAACACCCAAGACCGGAGCGCCGGACCTCCCCCGTTGGCCGGAACTGCTGCTCCTCCACTGCATCCTGAACGGAATGTAGCTAGCTGTCGAAGCACAACCAAAAAAAAACCCTCCTGCTCCATGGCAGGGCGCTCCTCTGCGCCGTCAGCGCTCTGCAAGTCCTGCACAACACACAAGGTCTGGATACCGACACTGCGCTAAGAGCAAACAAAGCGTCCTGATCCATCGGAGCCTGGGAGCTCGAGACTGCCGGGGCCTGGCAATGGACAGGAGTGATACAACGACTCTTAAAACCCAAGACGTGCCTCTGGGCCATCGCCGACCTCGCTTTCGGACGGCTCCTGAACAACAAGGCTCGCAACACGTTCAACATCCACCGCGCCCTATCCCCAGCCTTCTTGGTGAACCTATCCAGGGCCCCGAAGCTCACCGAGGCCTTCTTAAGGATGTTCTTCATCACCTGAAGGGGCAAGGACCCACCGACCAGCACAACGGAAGCCGCGGGACAGAGGCACAGGCACAGCGAGGAGTCAAAGAAGCAGAGAAGGGCACCTGAAACAAGAGGCGAGGGGTGGGGACAGCGGAGCGGGAGGCACTGCGAAGCCGAGGGCCAGACAGTCGAATTGATGATGAAAGGCGCCGGGCTCCTGGCGGGACAAGAGTGCAGCACCCTCCTACGCGCGCACGGACGAGGCACAACAGCCACAAACCGGAAAGAGACCCCCAACAAAACCCAAAGCAACGACCCTAAACTCCTGCGAAGCTGAGGCCCAGACGCTCGAGTTGCCGAGAGCCCAGGCACCTGGCGGGACGAGTCGCAGGGGAGGCAAGGCTACAGACACACAAAGGCGCTCGCACAGACAAACGAACCCCCGCAAAACAAAAACCCACCGAAATCCGAAGAAGAAACCCTTAACTGCAAAGCTGAGGCCCAGGCAACGAATTGAGCGGGAAGGTCAAGTACCTGGCAGAAAGGGGGGCACGAAGGAGGGTTGATAGGGTTAAGGGGTCTGTAGGCGCGCGCGCCTTCCGCTTCAAATGGGAAGCCCTTGCCCCCCAGGAAAAGAAGCAAAATGCTGCAGTGCGGCAGATCAAGATCGAGCAGGCAAGGAAACATGGCATGGACATGTTGCGCACAAAGGAAAACGCACTCGGGTCACTGTTTTTTAAAACCCTCACGCTGCGCCGATGCAGGGAGACTCTAGTCCATGGTGTCCAGCTCGGATTCTGGTTTCTTCTTCTCGCCCTCGGCCTTGCGTTTGTCCTTCTTTTTTTTCTTCTTGCCCTCGGCCTTGGGTTTATCATCCTCCTTCTCGCCCTCGATCTCGGCTTCGACTGGCAGCTGCGGCTGCGGCACGCAGTCGCGGCACAAATTAATGCAACCATCGTGACCTCCGCCCCTGTTGAACTGCGCCTGGAGGGTCACCGCAAACTCCAACTGCTGGGTCGGCGACAAAGCATTCCACCACTCCAAGCTGACCGGCACTTCCCACACCTTGGACTCGTTGTCCTCTATCTGGATAATTCCCTCGCCCGGCGCCAGCTGTCCATGCCCCGGGTTAGCCATGGCTCAGAATGTCAGGGGGCAGAACTACTCCAGCTGCTGCATGTTATACGTGTGTGCCGCCTCCTAGATGCTGTGCTGCTATACTGCCGCCCCTTACATGTTACACGAAGCGTGGCTCATGTGTACGGACCTAGCTTGGTGAACCGCGGCGCGGAGCAAAGTCAGTGCAGGGATGCGGGAAAAGGTGCCTACGGGTTAGGGCGGCAGGGCACTCACAGGGCAGCCGGGGAGCAAAGCCTACCACGGGGCCAAAGGGGTTAGGGTGCCCTGAACCAAACCAAAAGCAACCCCAGGCGAAAGCACTCTAGCAAAATGTTACTGCAAAAGTCGGCGGGCCTAGCTAGAATACCACTACAAATCAAAACGAAATGGCATCAGTGAGCAAAGGCGAGCAGCACCGAGCATCTGGTGAAACTGCATCCTAAACCCCCCACGGATCAGGTCGACGATAGCCACAGGCTCGCCGCCAATCGACACTGAACGCCCGCAGGCACGAAACCTTGAGCCAAACCTAGGAGACGTACCCACCGAAATCGTGATCTCACCACAGTCTGGTGTGAAACGGCCAGGCAAAGCCTTTTGGGCCACGCGCGGGCCTTCCCCGAGGCTGGCTGTGTCGCTTCTGGCCGGCGGGCCCGGCAGGGTGTGTGAAACATAGGCAGGGCGCACCCCGAAGATCGGGGCCGCGGTGGTTCCGTGATGCCCGGCGATTCCGTGTGGCTGTGTTCGACCCATCCTAAACCCCCCCGGACCACGTTCCGTGGCTTGCCGGCACCGATCTGACAGGAAAAGCCCGATCCGACCGAAATCGTGCTCAAATGCGAGGCGTGGCACAGGGCGAAATCGGGCTCTCGCCGGTGCGTGGTCGGCTCGCAAAACGGCCGGCGCTGGGGGGCCGTCGGCGCGCACCCTCCCCGGGCGGCTTCAAAATCCGAAAAAATTGGGGTGCGGCATGGTGTTTAGAGGCATGCGTGTTTGGAGTGATAAATGCTGGCAATGAAAAAATATGGATTTGGCGTGCCAGAACGCCACGGAGGAGCCCAGCGAAGCCAATCTCGTGCGGCTACTGGATCTGTGGTCGGCGGACTGGAAGCATCAAGTGCGCACCCGCGTCGTGGGACCCGGAGCGTTCGAGAAGTATTGCACGCTGGGCTTCTTCGGGCACGGGGGGGTGTGCGGTGTTTCCAACGCAACGAGCAAGCGAGCGGCCTGCACTGCAGTGAACCGCTTCTTGAAGAGCCGCTTTCCGAACGGCACCTGGACCTCCATCGCCGTGCTTTTCAACCCTCGCATGGGCCTGCACCGTGACATTCAGAACATGCCAGGGCACTTGAATCTTTCTTTGGCTCTCGGGGCGAGTGTGGATCGAAGACGACGAGGGCGACTCTACCGCGATGCTGGCCGGCAAGAAGGGTGGCCGGGAGCTGCCGGGTAGGTGGCTGGACATGCACGACAAGCCCGTCAGCTTCAATGCTCGCCGCTATCACATGGTGGAGCCACACCAGGGCAGCATGTGGGCACTCGCAGCTTATGTTCAGCACCGAGAAGCGCTGAGAGAAGCGGGTTTTCCGCTGCCCAGTGGCCGGGGCTGGAGGCGGGCGAGACAGGCGAGACAGGCGAGACAGCTGAGACAAGACTCTAAATAGACTAAAGCTGTCTCAGGGCTGTCTCATCTGTCTCGCGCGCGTTTTTCGTTCGATTTTCTCTCTCTGGCAAGGGTGTTCCAGCACTCCCTTAGTTCAAGACATGGGTCAGAATTGTCGATTCGCGGGCCTACGGCCCGCAGCTCTGACGATCTTAGGGGCTCTAAAGTCTTTGCAAAACGGGCTTTAGAGGAACTTTAAGGGCGCGCCTCTTGCCAGCGGCCGACGAGCACTCGCCAGCAGCTTACGAGCTCCTTGCCAGCGGCCGACGAGCACTCGCCAGCAGCATACGAGCGACCTACGAGCTGCAGCCCAGCAGCATACGAGCACCTATGTCTTGAAACTAGCCTCGTAGCTACTACAGATGGAGTACCCTCCCCAGAGAGAGGTTGGACGTGTGTAGATGTGGCACAAGTCCGTGGAGATATAGCGAGAGAAAGCCTGGACCAAGTCCTCCTCTCCCCAAAATTCCGAGCAGCCGCTCTTCTGTCTTGCTCCCAAGGGCGAATGAGGATCCTGGATGGATTCTGAGCTACCCAAGCTGTGAAGAAGGACCATGGCTTTTGTGTCCCGAGTATCATCGTGGTGCCGCAGAGGCGCATGTCCTCACCGGACTCGATGTTTTGATGTTTTGCCACACACGGGAGGTGGCTCTCTCCTACTCATGCGTAGATTTTGTTTTTTTTTGAGCGAAGGGGTTGAAGGCGGCCGGCTCGAAGACGGGGGGCGGCCCAAACAACCTGAACCTGAGGTTGTGGGTTCGCATTACCCCAAGTCTAACCTGGGATTGGAATTTGGGTCAACACCGATCCTTACCTTTGCGTCGGGGTAAGGGTTCGGGTTGACCCCAACCCAACCCAGGACACCAGGGTTGGGTTCGGGTTAACACCAACCCAACCCCGAGTTGGGGTTGGGGTTAACCCGAACCCGAACCCTCAGGTTCAGACTGGGGGTTAACCCGAACCCACAACCTGGAGTTGTTGGGTAAACTGACCCCGAACCCTAACCTCAGGTTGGGGTTGGGGTTGACCCGAACCCACAACCTGAGGTTGAGGTTGTTGGACCCCCCCCCTCCTTGGATGCGGCCTGGGCGTTACAACCTGGGTCCAAGCCCAACCCCAACCCACCCTCCAGAGGTATGCTCAAGAATTCGGACCAGTGTGAAGTTTTTGATTGTTTGATATTTTGGTTGATTTAAAACTTAAAGTTTAGGATTTAGAGGCCGCCAGAACGCCACGGGACATATAAAACAATTGATGTGCGAGCAATCGCACGTACCATTAGTATCCTTTCTGTAAAGTTGCCGAGCATCGAAGAGTTTGAAAAGTTTCCCGTGTTCGCAAGAGTTTAAAATTTGCTAGCTCCGAAACAAGGTGTTCGAAAAGTTTTTGCATTTTTTAAGGGTTCTTAAGGCAAACCGACGAGATTGAGCATGTTTTTAATACGTATCTTGCAGAATTCCCGAAATTCCTTAGCTCCCAGATTGGTCAGGGACCTCAAAGATGATTGACGAGTTTGAACAATTCTTCGAATGTGTCAACTATTTTGTGAAGTTCCTAGCTTCGAGACTAAGAAAACAAAACACTGTTCCGCTTAAGTCATCATCGAGCCGCCAACAGTGCTTCCCAACCCGTCTTTGCTCGTCAGGCCAAGTTACCCTAGTTGATTTTCGGAGGATTGTTCATGATGTTTGCCAATCAAACTCGAGTCCATGTCCCTCGTCCTTCCTGCCCAAGCAGCAAGGCCGATAATTGCAGTTTATGTAACATTGCAGTTGATCTCATACATTGGGGTTTCAACATGCTCATGGTCATGTTCATGGAGCATGCGGTTCCTATCGCTGCCACAGCGCAGATTGACATGACACATGGTTTACCCCTGGCACGGGGGTGATTGCACTTCCTGTTTGACTGTCGTATGCTGCAATTTCCAATGCATTCGCAAGACGTATGCATCGGAAAGTGTATCCTTTTTGATTTGGAAATGGCGGTAGAATGAATATTATTGAATCTTGCGGGGCCGAAACATGCGAATGGCAAACGTGCTCCGTACGCAAGTGCAACCCGGTCTCAAAAATGCAAGCTGAACATTGTCACGTGCTCTGTGCATCCGAGTGCTGGTCGTTCGAGTTGCAGTGGGCTTTGAACAAGACATTGGAAACCTTTCAGGCTCCTGGACGGCAGAATGTCCGAGGTTTGAAGATTCGGGGTTTTGGCGATCGAAAAAATCAAGCAGGCTTGCCTGGACCTCGTAATTTCCGAAGAACAGGCAGTCCTTGCATCAACCGTCGCCGTGGTGTACAGTTGTTTCGGGTCAAAAGTGAGTCCGGGCCGCGTGTTCTCCACAAGCCGGGAGCAGCGACCATGGCGGCGGTGGTAGTCACTTGTTGGCTGTAAACTCAACGTTTCAAGTTTTGGAGTTCTTATAAGGTAGTCGATTCTTGAAAGTTTCAACTGTTGGGGTTCCTATAAGGTAGTCGGTTCTTGAAAGTTTCAACTTTTGTTTCCATGGGTTTTGTGCCAGTGAGGTTATCGCAGCCCAAGAACAGCGGCGCAGCCAACGAAAGTCCTATCTGGAGGCGCAGGCCAACACGGCTGAGTTCGACGCCGACCATGACGGTCATGTTCTTCGCGTCGCACTGTGCTTCAGGGGCCGTTGCATTGATCTTGAGACCGCTTGAGCTACTGTTGCTCTGTACTTCGGCAATCTCAGCCAAGGTTTCGCCCCAGGAGCTCCAGCAGAACATCGATCACGTTCAGGTGCGTGTGGAGGTTCTGTTGGAAAGAATCTCACTGGAAGACGGTCTTATTGACCTGATGAAGAGCCTCGGTGCAGTGTTGATGTGTTTTAGCCATGCAGCCGTCAGTTGTTCTCAAGGCTTCGTTTCAGCGCTCAGCTTTTGGGTGGTTGTCAAAATGATGGTCCTTTTTTGGGGTCCCTGATATGATACGGCACCTAATATTTAGGGTACCCAAAAAGGGACCCCTATTTTGACAACCACCCATATCCGGCGTGTCATGAGGAACCTTCCGCTCTTCTTGCTGTGCCTCTTCTGCTTCTTGGCCGCGATCGCCATCCTCTCTCCGCCGCCTCAAACCGCAGCCATCCACCGGCATCTCAACAGTCACTTTGGACTCGACCAGGTTGCTGAGGTCCAAGACACAGCAGGTATCTACGACTTCTTGCAGACTTTTGAAAACAAGAACGCAGAACTGCGTGTCCCTCTGCTTCATTGGCACTTCTAAATGACCCCTCCAGTTTGGTTTACCCGCTCCAGTCCTGTACTGTGTTGTTGAATGCAGGCGACATCTTTCAACTATTGGTGCGAGCACCGGTACTTTCAGAGAGAGTGGGACGACCACTACCTGGTACCGGTCAGCTCTTGCCCCAGTCCGAGATACACAGCCCTAGAGCTGCAAAGCAGCCCGGTCTGGACGAACTCGACGAGTCCTTCGACAGGCGGCCACCACAGGCGGCTTTCCGCCGAAACCTCAGAAGCACTTGGAGCTGAAGTTTGACTTTTTCGGTTTTCAGCCTACAGAGCTTGTTTCAGTACCCAAAACTGCCGGGTAGTCTGTATTTCTCCCTGCATGCACAACGCTAATCACTAAACCTGAGACCAACTTCAAGCTTACAAAATCGCACAAAGATCTCAAAGCCCTCATTGCAGAACCTTTCGCAGAGCCCATGTAGAACCCTTGAAGAAGCCCTGCAATTAAGGCTCTTGTGTGTTGCTAACCTTACTTGGAGCTTCATCGGGCTTAGTAAGTAGGGCTACAAGTACCTTAACTCGGGTCATAATTCGTCGAAAGATATATGGATGGTTGTCAAAATTATGGTCCCTTTCTGGGCCTTATATTTGGGGTACCCAAAAAGGGGCCACAATTTTGACGGCTGCCCATATAACCCTAGTTACAAAGTCCTATGAAGCTTTAAGCAAACCCTAAGACCTTAAAGTGAACCCTATAGTACCCTCTAGCTCGGGAGCCCTTAAGACCCTGGAAGTCCCATGAACCTTCAAATAAGCCTTGAATCCAACTAAGCCCCATTAACCTCAAAGTCGACCCTGAACCCTAAACCACCATAGATCCCTTATATTCATGAACCCTAAACCACCATAGATCCCTTGTATAACCCTTTAAGGAACCTTCTAAGCAACCCTATAAGTTACGAAGTCGCAGCCCTAAACCCTAAACCCTAAACCCTAAACCCTAAACCGTTTAAGTAAGCCGTGCATCCAAGGAGCGGCGACTGGCCGGAGGAGGCACTTCTACTGGTGGCCCCCAGGCAACTCACGCAAATCCGCCTTGTGAGGACGGGGTTTTAAGTTTAGAGTTTAGGGTTTGGGGTTAGGGTGTAGGGAGGACAGGGTTTAGGCTTTGGGGTTTAGGGTTTAGGGTTTAAGCATGTAGAGTCTAGGGTTGAGGGTTTAGGATGGAGGGTTTAGGGAGGACAGGGTCTAGAGTTGAGGGTTTGGGCCGTAGCAATTCGGTTTCAGGGTTTGGGACTAAACCCTCAGCCCTACCTTAACCTCTTGTAACCTACCTTTTTAAGCATTCATATAAAGAAATCATATTAGGGAGCCCTAAAAAGGTAGGTTCCTTAAGGTCCAGGTAAACCCTAAGCCCTAAGCCCTAAATCCTAAACCCCTAAACCCTAAACCCCTAAACCCTAAACCCTAAACCCTAAACCCCTAAACCCCAAGCCCTAACTCCTGCAAATCATGGCCTTGGTGAGGACAATGACACCGCCTACCAGATCCTTGCTGCGCCAGAGACCAGGGTTGAGGGTTCCCAGAGACTCCAAAAATCCCTTTAAGGAATACCTAGGGGTTCCTTTAAAGGGATCCTTAAGGGTTCCTTTAAGGGATCTATAGGGTTTAGGGTTTAGGGGACTCCAATATCCCTTAATCAAGGAATAGACCTTAAATTATGGTAGGATCCCTAATATGATTTAAGGAATATTCCCTAGTTAAGGGGTATTGGAGTCTCTGGGAACCCTAAACCCTGAACCCTATAGATCCCTTAAAGGAACCCTTCAGGATCCCTTTAAAGGAACTACTAGGTACTGGGTTTCAAGTTTTAAGGTTCCAGGGCTTGATGTTGACCGTATTGGGGCTTTGCGTCATCTGGGGCTAGGGTTCATGATATAAATCCTAGGGTTCCTTTAAAGGGATCTATAAGGGTACAGTTAAGGGGTTCCTTTAAGGGATCTATAGGGGGTTTAGGGTTTAGGGTGATATAAATCCTGCATTACCCATAAGAAGGAATATGCCATAATTTGCATAATCTAGGACCATTGACGTAATGCAGGATTTATATCATCAACCGTTCGTTAGAGTTGTTGATTCTGAAGGCTGTAGAGTTCCTCGTTCTGGTTGGAACAAAGTGCCAACCAATTAGCGTTTGTGGTAGCAGCATTTTTTGGTGCTTAAGGGGTTTTTAAGGTTTCGGGTTTACATGAAGTGATCATGGGACTTAGTAAGCAAGGTCACAACTACTTGAACTGGGGTTGCAGTGAACTATACCCCTAGTTACTATCGCTGGCCGCGCCGCATTGCTTTGCGCCAGTATCAGGGCCCGTGCGTATCCATGTGTGCTATATCCCTAGTTACTAACTCCTATAATCCTTTCAGTAGGTTGTTAGTGTGCCGGGTTCTTCTTTATAGCGTGTAGGGTTTACCCTGTTTAGATCCTTCACGGCCAAAGCTGAGTGAAGGTTTTACGGGGGTATCTGGCTCCGGGCACAGGTTTAGGATGTTCTAGGGTTTAGGGCTGCAGGGTTCAGCGTCAAGCCGTGCCCAGGATCGAAGAGGATGACCCGAACATCACGTGCCACGATCATGCCAGCCATGCTTGTGCCACCGACCTTGGACTGCTGTACTGCCCGAGGACGTGCGGGTGCCTCGGCCTTGTTTTTGGTAAGCCCTTAACCGCTTAAACATTTCGGAACCGAAAAAGCACAGGCGCTTCTTCAAACTCTCGTCGTTTGCATCACCTTTCATATCGGTTTCCATGTTCATTTGCGATGCTCCCTCAGCCTCATATAACAGTATCAGGGACAGACGATGATAAAAAGCAACCGCGACAATGACAGCTGTAGCAGCACGTGTAAATGGTGACAATACGACAACCGTGGCAGCGCAAATATGAGAAAACTAGCAGCTAGCTACTCGCTACTACCCAGTACCACTTACCTTCTAGGTGCTAGGAAAGTTGTTTAACTACTGGCTACCAAACACCAACTGCTGAACAGTGGCTGCCATTTACTAGCTACTAGGAACTTCCTACTGCGTAGTATTTACTATCTGTTACAAACAGCACCAAAAACAACAACAACAACAACAACAACAACAACAACAACAACAGCAACAACAACTACTACTACTACTACTACCACTACTCCTACTTCTACTTCTACTGCTACTACTACTACTACTACTACTACTACTACTACTACTACTCCTACTACTGCTACAACTGCGACTACTACTGCTACTTCTACTTCTAATTTTGCTGCTACTACTACTACTGCTACTACTACTGCTACTACTACTGCTGCTGCTGCTACTACTACTACTACTACTACTACTACTACTGGTACTACTACGACTACCACCACCACTACTACCACTGCTGCTGCTGCTACTGCTGCCAGATCTGCGCTCAAGACTGTCATTGCAGTCGTCATTAATGCTGGTAACCTTCTTCCATTTTTAGCTTTTCGCCATAGCCCATGGCCATACCTTTCACAGCATTTGTATTTCTTTAGGTTTGTGTATGTGTTATATGTATGTATACATGCTTGCCAGTGCTTACAAACACCTATAGCATGTCTGTCCGTGGTTCACCTGTACACATCCAGAACCTACCCGTCCAGGTATTGCGCGCCCTTCTCCTACGACCGGTACCGCAAGTACACCAAGCCACAGGTGACTCTTCTGCCTTCTGTGGTGCACCAGACGCGCTACAAGACCAAACCTTGTGAAGGCAAGGATAAAGGGTTTAGAAGCTTAGGAATTACCCAGACACCCCAAAACTCGTTAATCACGGATATTACGACAATTACGTAAACAACCATATTCCCCATAAGTTGTGGTATTTTCCGTAATTCAGGGATATTGGATTCTCTGGGTCTTTATATCGGCCTCTAGGGGTGGTTATGGCTTAGGATTTGCAGGATTGCCAAAAACCCTAAACCCTAAACTGAGCCCGAAACCCATAATTTTAGAACCCGAAAGTGCCTTAAAACAAAGCCTTAAACCCTAGGCCCTTAAAGGATCCCTTAAAGGGAACCCTATGATAGAACCCCAGAGTGCTCTCAAAAAGGAACCCTAAACCCGAGTTAGCTTTAGTAACCCAGAGACTCCAACATCCCTTAATTAAGGAATATTATTGAAATCATATTCGGGATACCACTATAATTTGAGGTATATCCCTGAGTCGGAATATTGGAGTCTTTAGTAAACGCGCCGGCGAGGCTGGGCCGAGAAGTTCCTGATCCAGAACTATAACCCTGTCCTGGTGACCATGTCCCTCGGGCGCTTGAGAACGGGTTTAGGATTTAGGGTTTGGGGTTTAGGGGTTTAGGGGTTGAGGGTTTGCGGTTTAGGGTTGAGGGTCAGAGAGCCCAATACTCCTCAATTAAGGAACAAACCTCAGATTGTAGGGGCGTTGTATTGTGGTCGCCTGTTTATTTCTTAATTAAGGAGTTTTGGGCTCCCTGGCAAGCCGGATAGAACCAGCAGCCAAAAAGCAACAGCCACTTCTTGACAGTTTCCCTTGTACACAGCACCCTAGGAGCTATAATTCCAGTTTGTGGTAGCAGTGATAAGAAGGGCAACAGGTAGTTTGTCGGCTTGTGTGCGCCCCTGTGAATTTGCTACTGAAAGGTTCATGGGACTTTGTAGCTAGGGGTTTCAAGAAGGCAACTCTTCTTATAGTTCCTTGCAATCCCAATTGAGGCTCTTAACCCTGAACCCTTGTAGCTGTACTTACTAAGTTCGGGGAAGCTCCAGGGAAGACTATGTGTTGAGGGTCCCTGTAAGGGTCTCTGTCAAAGGGTCCTTTCGCGATCACTTTCAAGGATCCTGTTCGGGAACTAGCCCTCTTCATGCGGTTTAGTGTGAGGGGTAGGGCTGGGCTTAGGCCACTGCTGAAAGGTAATTACTTGGAGGTTCATGAACCTTTAAGTAGGGTTTAGGGGTTTAGGGCTCAGGCTCGAGGAGGGACTGAGTTTTTCCGACTTCTGTGCGGAGAGTGGTCAGAGCTTCAGACGCCCGTGCAATCCTCATATTGTCATCCTTGTTGGCGCCGCTACCCCGATGACTCATGACCGCCGTAAGTCTTTGAGGGATTTTTTGTTGATGCTGATGTCGCTGATTTCGGCTTTTCTCAGGAATAGTACCTGCCTTTCCGATATTGTCAATGCGATTAATCGTTCTTTTTGTGGAGTCGTTATTGGTATTGCTATTGCTATAGGATTACTTTCCTGAGTAGTTATTGGTATTCCTGTTGCTGTAATATCGTTTCCCTGAGCATCATGGTGATGACTATTATCGCCGTTCAGGGTTCGTTGCATGTTATAGCGGCCATCGCTCCTGTCATGAAACGTGTTTCTCTAGCCTTCCTGATTGTTCTTATTCTGGTCCGTACTGTCACAACTGTTGGTTGCTGGTGCTGTAAGTGTTGCTATGTTCATGATGATGACGGTGACGTCATTGTAACTATTACAGCTGCTATGAATGTTCTTGCTGTTCTACCAAGGAACTGTTAAGTTGTGAACCAGCCTGCTTGTTGTTGATGTTGCTATTTACTGGTACTAGAGGTATTAACACTTTGTGTCGCTTCATGTGGATTCTGTATATGTTTTGTGCTTATTGCTTCGGTGTTTCTTGCAAACGCGACTACGCTGCGTGAAGTTGCCAGGTTTCCCAGCTGCAGCAACCCCTACTAAACTCTAAACCTTTTAGGGTTTGGGGTTTAGGGTTTAGGGTTTCTAGACCTTGAACAACACACCTTGCGAAGCTGTCTAAACCGTGAACACCCAGCTGACGCAAGATTTGATTGAGCCCTACTCCTCAGTCCTTAGAGACGATGAACCCTAAACCTAAACTCTGAACCCCTAAACCCTAAACCCCTACTGTTGATGATATAAATCCTGCATTACCTTAAGAACCCTAAACTATGGGAATTATGGTATATTCCTTATTATGGGTAATGCGGGGTTTATATCATCAACCGTAGTTTCGAAACCCTACACCCTAAACCCTGAAGCCAACCCTGAGCCCGAAGACTGCACCCGGAACTGAAGACCTGCACTGGACGGGCCCAAGAATGACGAGCTCCTGGTGTGTGTGGATCGTAATTCCGCCTACGAGGAGGCATGTACTCGAGGGTCCAGGCTTTGAGGATTTAGGATTTGAAAATAGTACACTGGTAGCGACAACCTGCAGGTTCTGTTTGGGGAAGTTTGGGAATTAGGATTGTCAGGCTCAGGATTGTCAGCAGGGTGTAATGTGGGTGCGCAGGCGGCTACATGTTTCAGTCTCGCAAGGGTTCCACTAAACTGCAGGGATCTGCATTGCAGGAATCGGACAATAGCCCTGCAGACGTCTTGTCCTTAGCCGACAGAACTGTAGACGGTAATATAGGGGCCTAAACAACTACCAATACTATTTTGGGGTTCCTGATGATAGTTATGGTAGCATGGGCTCCAGAAACCTATTCTAATTACTAAGGCCCCTATACTACCTCAGTTGGACGCTAAACCCCAGCATCCCCGTTCCCAAGACCCTGAAAGCCACAAAGGTCCAAACTTCAAAGTTTAACGCACCGAAAAGCTTTGCACACATATCTACACCCTGAACCTTTACAAAACGAAACGCTTCAAGACCCAAGCCCTGAGGCTTTAAGCCGAAGAAACCAAAAAGACTCGAAAGCACCAAGCAAAAGAAAGCCCTAACCCTACACCCTGAACCCAGCTGTGCGAGGACCACGCCTTCTACCTGGACTGCACCCCGCATACCCCTTCAACCCGATGCGTCGATGGGAAAATTCCGATCACCGCCAAGACGCTGTTCCACGGGCAGGTGAAAGAAAGCGTGGGATTTTCGGCGTTGTGAGTCCAGGGTACGTTGTGGAGTTGAAGCTCCCAGAGGATTTTGTTTAGGGACTAAGGGTTCTGGTTTTCAGGGTATATGGTGCCCTGCGCAGTCTGTCTCCTGCGCGCTAGAAGCCTCACTTCCCTGCAGCCCTTGAGTGGGAAATGCAGAGTGTTGCTACTTATTGGCTGTACTTTTTAACTTTTGGGGTTCTTAGAAGGTAGTCGATTCTGAAAGTTTCAACTTTTATTTCCTTGGGTTTCGGGCCGGTGAGATTATGACTTATTACCGTTACAAGATTCAAGACCGGACTGGGTGCCCGATGAACCTCCAAATCCAAACCCTGACCGATCCGCGGAGTTTGGTTTAGGTTTCGGGGAAAGGGTTTAGGGGTTTAGGGGTTAGGGTTTACTTGGAGGATCAAGGGACTTAGTAGGTAGGGCTATAAGTACCTTCACTGGGAATTAAGTACTTCTAAGTTGGTTGCGTTGTTTGTAAGCTTGGTCCATTAAGCAGGGTTTAGGGTTTAGGGACTTTGTAGGTCACTATCCCTGCGTTAGCAACCCTGCATAACCTTAGAGTATCATTGTCTTACGCTTAGAGCAGGCCTATACTACCCTTGTAGTAACCTCAAAGAGGCGGTGTATGCCAAGATGCTGATCGAAAGCTCCCGGGACCTCAATGCGATGAAGGAGGTCGGTTGGATCGATTCCCAAACGGAGCACATCGCCGTGAGCACCGTGATCTACACCGAGGATCGCTCGAAACACATGGGAGTTTCCGAAAATTCGGGGTACCTTATTTTGGGGTCCTTATAATAAGGACCCTACTATTTAGGGTCCTGTATTAGGGTCCCCTATTTTGGTAAACTCCCACATACGCTAAACCCTAAAACCTCCAGCGGCAGTGTGTAAGGTTTGGGGCTTTAGTTTTCCCTGGGCTGCCCTCGCGCACCCTCCCAACCTCCATGGCAGGCACCATTTCCACATGTTGACATCACCATGTGCTATAGAAACGTGAATAACTAGTATTGTTGATTCCTTACAGATCCATTTTACAACCAAAATAGAATTTACCCAGAATCCCTCTGTGTGAGGAGTTTATGTTTGCTCCCTTGAAATTCTGCTCCTCAGATGTTGCATTCAAACCTGTTGCCCTTGTTGCTAAGTCCCATGATCCTTCAAGTGAACCCTACACACTGACGCTATCAAGCCTTACAGCTTACAATCTCATGGACCCAAAAGCCCCAAAGCACCCTAAACCCTAAACCGCTTTGCCGCCCGAAACCACTCAGACCCTCAGGCTCGTACTGTTAATAGGGTTTAGAGTTTAGGGTTTTAGAAGCCTGTGGAGTCATTATGGAAGTTTTGAGAGGAGTTCTATCATATCCGTGTAGCAATCTTAGAAGATCTTCACAAGATGCTACCGCAGCAATATAAAGCCCAGCCCTTTGGAGGACCTGGAAATGTTCACCTCCCTGACCGTGTCCTTCGACTTCGACTATGCGGGGAATGTGGAAGGGTCAGTGAGCATGGTCACCTACAAGGACACCTTGCGGTCTCGGCAGGGTTTATGGTTTTATCAGGGTTCTACAAGGGTTCGATAAGGGTACCGTCAGGGTTCTCTAAGGGCTCCGAGTATATGAGGGTTCAGAGTCTAGGTTTCGGGGGGTTTCTGAGCCCTCAACCCAAATCCGTAAACCCTAAGCCAAAAAACCCCAAGGCCCTCAACCCAAGACCTTAAACCTCAAACCCTAAATAGTTGGCCGTACTTGGATGGTCGTCATCGAAGCAGTAGTAGTAGTCGTCGTGGTGGTGGTAGTAGTAGAAGTAGTGGTAGTAGTAGCGGTAGTGGTAGAAGTAGTGGTCGTAGTAGTGGTAGCGGTAGCGGTAGTGGTAGTGGTAGTGGTGGTAGTAGTAGTAGTAGTAGTAGTCGTAGTAGTAGTAGTAGCGGTAGTAGCAGTAGTAGTAGTAGTAGTAGTAGCAGTAGTAGTAGTAGTAGTAGTAGTAGCAGTAGTAGTAGTAGTAGTAGTAGTAGTAGTAGTAGTAGTAGTAGTAGTAGTACTCGTACTAGTCGTAGTAGCAGTAGCAGTACCAGTAGCAGTAGTAGTAGTAGTAGTAGTAGTAGTAGTAGCAGTAGCAGTAGCAGTAGCAGTAGCAGTGCTGGCCTGGCAGTTCATCCGCGTCTTGGGAGAGACGCGCCCCTACCCAGCGGAGAGCCAGGCCTTGATCAACTTCCTCCGCGACCACTACTACGACGAGGTCAGTGTGCGCATGATCCCCCTGCGCCAAAGTTTATTGGCACATAAGCAAAAGCACTATGACTGGATCGCAGACCTTCGTGATCAATATGGTCTGAGCAGATATGAGCTCAGTGAGGATACCATCATGAGCCTTCAAGGGCCCCCACCACGGGTTGACCAGATTTACAATCAGAACAATTGCCACTTCAGACCCTCAGTGGCAGATCAGGTCATCGGCCTGCTCGTGTCCCGCTCAATCTGCTCGATGAGGCGCTCAAAGCCACACGCAGTTCATGTTCTGGTCGTGTGCTCATGGAATAGCACGGGGGACAATGTCCACAAAGAAATGAACGCCACAGTTGACCTCTGTGGAGCGGAGACACTGTCTGAGGTGGGTGCGGTGGCAGCTCGCCACACGGGAAAGCCATGGCTTTTTCGGAGATTTCTGGAGCCCAACGCCAGCCGTCGCCCCATGCCTCGGACTATGTTTCAAACATACATGCACGACGACCACCCTGGTCCCAAGAAAATGTGCAGAGAATTCCTGGCGGACTTCGAGCGCACTTTCTGCAACGACGAGATCCTGCTCGAGACCCTCCAGATGCACGCGGGAGACAGCGGGGAAAATCTTATCCGCAACTTAAAGCAGCCGGCTCACAAGGCAGATGTTTTCAGGTACATCTATCATTACCAACATGGCGGCCTGTACATGGACATCAAGATGGCCCTCCGCATGCCATTCGATGAATTGCTCGGGCACATCGCGGCGGAGTGGGACAATGTCCAAGTCAGCAAAGCCAAGGAGCTGGGGCACTGCCCAAATGGCATAGAAGGAACCCTGCCACAGGAATTCCTGCTCATGGGCATTGGCGTCAAAAATGATCATACCTTTCAAGGCATCATCTATGGCCAGCCGCGCCACCCCTTGCTCCTGTGCGCCATCAACCACGCTTTCAGCAAGCAGATCCTCACGTCGGTCGCCAATCTCGACTACATGATTTTCTGCAAGGAGCTGTGGAAGATCCTCACCAAGGACATGGGTCGCACTCCTGAGGCAGGATGGAACCAGACGAAACAATTTGGCCCGATATACCTGCTTCGTGAGCGACACTCCGCGCAGCAAACCAGGTCCAGGGAGCTCCAATCTGATGGCCACTACTTCGAAACCAGCAGAAAAGTCTGTGTCGCTTTCACTCGCTGCTGGAGCTGGCGCAAGGGCTTCAAAGGTGATCCCAGGGCGGCCCAGCGAAACGAGAACTACCTCATGCAGAGCGTGCCTCAAATCGTCTCGGAAGTCATCGAGGCCGGCAGCGATGCTACAGCAGCTCCTCTACCAGCACAGCCGGGAGCACCGCTCACGCATGCAGGCATCCGCGTCGTTGGCGAAACCGTGCTCAGCAGTCTGGAGGGGGGCGACTTCGACCGGATCATGGCCGCCATCGAGCGAGAACCGCAGTATAGTGGCATCACGGCGGAAGCGGTCCTACGCAACATTCCCAGAGGGCTATGTCTTCACCCTGAAGATCCTGACTGGCTCTCCTGCCGCTACTGCGAAAGACATGGTCGGCCGTTAAAGTTTCCGAATGAACTGGGTGTTACCCGCCACTTCTTGCAGCCCAAGCATGATCGCTCTGTGCCGGAACCACCGGAGCCGCCATCCCGCCAAAGCATGTGGTCCCAACGCCCAGCGGAGCCAGCTCATCCCCCCTCCTCAGGAGCAGCAGCGGCCTCTGGCAGCGCCCCTCCCCCACCGGAGCCCACCACGGACGATCCACCACCCTGGATGCCCTCTGCGTCTGTTTCCAGAGCTCGCTTCGGTCTTGGCCTTCCACCAATCCCTTCAGGTGCTCCCACACCCACGCAGGGCCAACGGCCACTTTCTGAGACAGATGCAATGGGGGTCAATGACCAGCCAAGAGCAACCACTCCGGCCACCCCAGCAGCCACGCAGGCAGCAGCTCCCCACACTCTTGGCTGGCAGGAGGACACCCAGGGCACGCCGGATACCCCCATGTCACCAGCTGGCACAGCGACGCAGCCAACCCAGTCAGCTCATTCCCGTGCTGTCCCCTTCAGCGCGTTCTCCAGCCACACTGCGGCGCAGCAAGCCTCCGACCCTGCCAAGGCTAATACTCCGGCCCCCGCTGCAGCAGCCGGCACCCCTGCTCCAGAGTCGATTCCGCAGACTCCCGCCCCGGGGGCTGCGGCGTCGCCCAACTTGATGGATGCTCCCTCATCACGCGAGGAGGTCAAATACCAGGGCCCGGTCACCACCAACCAGCTGGTGGAATACAGCGTCCACCCCTCCCCGGAGCAGGAGGCGAGTCAGATGCCGAAGCGAGACCAAATAGTTGCTATTTGCCAGTCGGACCAGATGCTGGAGTGGGTCCATGCCTTTGCGACTATCTCCATCATGAAAGAGCAGGCGATCGTCGGGGGCCTCACTGCTTCCGAACAGGTGATACTCTGGACCAACCGGTTTCGAGCACTGGGTCGGGTCCCGTGGATCTTTGCCCCGATCAAGAAGGTCGCCACCGACAAGGATGCCACTTGGCTGGATATCACGCAGGCGCAACTTGTGGTTGGGGCCAATGGCCAATTCACCCTTTCCATTGGTCAAGATTCCCGATACACTGAGCTCAAAGCCACCACGACCTACTACGGCATCGTGCACGCCCTCTTTCAGAAGATGTGGGATCATCCGGACATGCACTCTTTGCTGGAGACGGATGATAACTTTGAAGTCGTGGCCTCCACCTTCAAGTGCATCTACGATCAGACCTCTAGAAAAAGCGGAGGACAAAACCGCGCCATTTTCTATCAGCATAGGGATGGACATGTTGTCCGCAAGCTCCGTATTGAACACAACAAGGGTGATACGGTCAGCTACCAATGGCATCGCCAACGAGAACTGCGGGAACAAAGAGAACAGCGAGACAAGCGCTCTGGTGAGGACACGCAATCTCGAACTGACAAACGTCAACGAGATGGCGGAGCCTGGTCTAGAGATGGAGGATGGAACCGCGGTTCAGACTCCAGGGCCAGCGGCAGCCGCTCCTGGCATCAATGAGCTCCGCAATGGTGCCAATGGCAACCTGCATCACAGACAGCGGTGGCCATGCCTTGCTTCCCGTCAAGCGTCTCTTCCCAGTCGGACTGACAGCCTTTCTGCCACACACCGTCGCAGTCAGTCGAAAAAGAAGCTGCTTTCACCGCTCAGCTAGCGTCGTCAGCCTTGCATCGGCACCAAATCAGTATACATCCGAGTTCAGGTACCATCCGAAGAGCTGGAGCCCAACATCTGCAGTCGGCAACCTGCACTAGCTGTGCAGAAATGCCCGCCTAGGACATGTAGGCTGCCGCCTTCTCCACGGTCAATCGACCGGGGGCTGCTTAGTCATAGGGTCTGAGTCAGTTTCACACCAAGTGAGTGCACCGCGGCAATCGCCCGCTATGTGCAGAGCCCGCTCGCACAGCGTTCAATTGAAAATAGCAGTAGCAGTAGTAGTAGTAGTAGTAGTAGTAGTAGTAGTAGTAGTAGTAGTAGTAGTAGTAGTAGTAGTAGTAGTAGTAGTAGTAGTAGTAGTAGTAGTAGTAGTAGTAGTAGTGTAGTAGTGTAGTAGTGTAGTAGTGTAGTAGTGTAGTAGTGTAGTAGTAGTAGTAGTAGTAGTAGTAGTAGTAGTAGTAGTAGTAGTAGTAGTAGTAGTAGGAGTAGGAGTAGGAGTAGTAGTAGTAGTAGTAGTAGTAGTAGTAGTAGTAGTAGTAGTAGTAGTAGTAGTAGTCGTAGTCGTAGTCGTAGTCGTAGTCGTAGTCGTAGTCGTAGTCGTAGTCGTAGTCGTAGTCGTAGTCGTAGTCGTAGTCGTAGTCGTAGTCGTAGTCGTAGTAGGAGAAGCAGAACCCAGTAGGAGGTTGAGGAGCAAGGGGGTATCTCTCGAGAATGCAGCTGCGAGTATTGGTGGCCTTGTCCCGTGGGCAGTACATCATTGATGGACAAAATCCTGCATGACCCTAAGGACTTTAAACGGTGGGAACTATGGTATATTCCTTAAAATGAGTAATGCAGGATTTTGTCCATCAAAAACCAAGTCTCGCAGTTGCCTTCGGCACCTTGGCACTGAAATCGAAATGCCAGTGCGAACAAGGACGTGATCTTGACTTCAGCCCAGAACTTCATTGGATGCTTGCTTACAACCTGCACCTTGCCGATGCTTCAACAGGGCTCTGTTTCGATTCCTTCAGGTTGGAACCCAGGGTCCATTACCCTTTGGTTGAGGACTATACCTTAAACCATAATATTAAGAGCCCCATAATTTCAGGTATGGTCCTTAATTGAGGAGTATTGGGCTGTCTGGGAAACCAAACGGCGGAAGGTTGCAGTCATTTTCTTGGTGGTTCCGGATGCTTCAAAGAAGGCTCGAGGGACCTTCACAGCACTACAAGCAGGTACCCAGACCCGATTCTCAAGTACGGTAGCTGCAAACCCGAAGGTCTTTGTGCGAAGCCCTACGTCCAAAAATACGAAGCCCCTGCGAAGCCTAAGCATCAAGCTTCGTATCCTAAGTCAAGCTTTAGTGCTGGTGTTGCTAGTATTGCCGCCGCTGGTGAAAAGCTTACCTTGCACGCCGCAGCGAAGAAACGATGCTGCTGATAGAGTTGGTATGAGCTCGAAAAGGGCAGCGAGGCTCCAGCCACATGGTCAGAAACATGTGTGTGTGTGTGTGTCGCAGATGAATCATGAACAACAGTACAGTAAACCCCATAAAGTCGGAAACCGGATTGAGGCCAAACAGTGCTGGGAGTCGCTGTGCATTGCTGTTAAGGATTGAGGCTATTGGGTCTCCAACTTTTTGGCTTCTACTGTAACCCGAAACCCCCCTAAACCCTAAACCCTAAACCCTAAACCCTAAGCCCTTAACCCTAAACCTAAACCCTAAACCAAAAACCCTAAGCCGAAGCTCCTCTGGGGCCTGACCGCCAAAACCTCGAGAGCCCGGAAACTTCAAGGATCATGGGACTTAGTAATTGGGGTTATGAGTTCCAGGGTTCCCTTTAAGGGTGTAGGGTTTAGGGTCTACTTAAAGGATCATGGGACTTAGTAGTTGGGGTTATAAACAAGGTATCCATACTTATAGTTACTTATAACCCCCATTAAGGTACCTATAACCTTACAGAAGCACAGGTATCGGAGCCCTCTTCAGTGCAACTGCTTCGACGGTGCATCTCCTCCGCCACCGGGAGCAGTGCAACTGGGGGCTCACGTGCTGCTTGATGCAGTAGAACTCAGATATCAAGTTGAGGGTTTAGGGCAAAGATAGCTAAGCCCTGACCAAAATCCCAGAAATCTGAATTCTAAACCCGGTCCCCAACACCGACAGGTTGGGGCTGCCGTTTGCATCGGGGCTTGGAGGGGCTGAATAGCTACACCGGTGAAGGACTTGGGTTTCAGGTTGAGGGTTTGGGATGACATAGGCGTTCGAGTTTCGAGACTAGTAGGCTTTACAGCTTGGTAGCATGTCAACACATCGATTTGGTCCCAACTGCCTCTGCAATGGGAACATTTATCCACATTTGTCTATTACAAGTTGACTCCCGCAAATGTTTCTTCTTGGCACGTGGCCCCTGTCATGTGTGGCTAGGTGCTGCAACGCTACTATAAGGGTACTACCGGGTTGCTACTAGAGAACTACGACTGTACCATAAGTTACTACGCGTTCACCATAAAGCCATACAGCCGTCAAACTTCAAACCCGAAGCCCTAAAGCCCAGGTCATCACTATAGTAACTTGTAGTACCTTTGTAGTTCTCTAGTAACAACCCTATAATACCCCTAGAGTGGCGTTGCAGCACCCATATATTAACCTTATAGAAACATTACATGTGCCGCAAAAGGTACCGTTATAGCTTACAAAGTTGAGGTATCAGAGCCCTCATGGTGCCGGCATAGTAACCCCATAGCACCCTTAGTGGTACCCTAACGTACCCTTAGATTGGCATTGTAGCACCCTTGTATACGTAGCACAGGCTACATCTTTAGCCCAGGCTACGAGATCTTCTCACGGATCTCAACCAAACTGTATACCTTAAACCCTAAGCCCTCACAAAGCACAGGCTGCAAGCTCCCTTATGGTCATACCTTTACAGTAACCCTGTAGCACACTGCACACCCTCATAATTACATTTACAAAACCCATGACAGCACCATTGTATAACCCTCATCGCACCACCCTTTGTATAGCCCAGGCTACCAGATCTTCCCTCGGATCTACCTAGGAGTATTCTTTAAATTTCATATTAGGGGTCCTAGTATTTCTTCAGGGATATTGGAGTCTCTGGGTGGCCCAGGCTACGAGATCTTCTCTCGGATCCCCAAACCGTTTTCCTTAAACCCTCATAGTAACCTTCTAGCACCTTTATAGGTACCTCAGAGTACCCCTTAAAATTCCATGATAGGACCCTTAAAGGTATATACCTCAAAGTATTCTTTATATACCGTTCTAGGACCCTTAAAGGTACCTTAAAGTACCCCTTTATATAACAGGAGGACCTTTGTAGGAGGTACCTCGAAGCACCCTTTGTCTAGCCCAGGCTACGAGATCTTCTCTCGGATCTTGCTGCTCGTGTACCCAACGATCCTGCTCATCTCATGGAGTCAGCAGCTCCTGATGCCGCGTGGCGGGAGCCCGGGTTTAGGAGTTTAGGGGTTTAGTTCAGGGGTTTAGGGTTTAGGGGTTTAGGGTTCAGAAGGTTTAGGGTTTAGGGGTTTAGGGTTGGGTTGTGTTTTAGGTTTAGGGTTTAGAAGATGACCAACAGTTTAGGGTTTGGGGTTTATGAGGTGTTTATACGGGCTTCGTAGGGGTTTCTAACTGTGCTAGAGGGGTTTGGAAGGGCTCTTCAGAGGGTTTCATGGGACCGAGGTGTGTTTAGAGTTCATGTTTTATGTTTTTGCAGGGCCGTCTAGGGCCTTTCTGGGGTTTGCACACGGATAACGTCTTTCCTGCCGTCCCTGTTTATCATGGTCATCACAATCATCATCACCATCCTTCGTAAAGCCATTGTCAAGATCGTCCTGATCAGGCCTGTTGACTTAAATCCTAAACCCTAAACCCTAAATCCCTACAGTCATCGTCGTCGCTGCCACTGCGGCATCGCAGTCGACTTCGCCATTGTTGTCATCATCGCCTTCGTCGTCGTTGTAGAAGGACTACTACTAGAAGCAGCTGTAGCCGTAGTCACATCGTAGTCGCAGTCGTGCTCGTCGTAGTATACCCTAAACCCTAAACCCCAAACCCTAAACCCAAAACCCAAAACCCAAAACCCAAAACCCTAAACCCTAAACCCTAAACCCTAAACCCAAAACCCTAAACCCTAAACCCTAAACCCCTAAACCCTAAACCCTAAACCCTAAACCCTAAACCGTTAGTAGCAGGAGCAGGAGTAGGAGGCGGGAGTAGGAGCAGGAGGAGGGCTGAAGGTCAGTAGCATCGGCCATGCCTGACTGCTGATTCCTCTTACTTGGAGGGCCGGGGGACTTCGTAACTGGTTATTTTAGGGACTTATAAGTACCATAACCCCAATTAGGGTCCCTTTTAAGGTACTTATAAGTCTACCTACTACCTACTTACTAAGTGCCCCGACCCTCCAAGTACTGGCTTTGTACGAGTTCCTTTAAGGGCTCTCAGGGTTCTAAAAGTTCCTTTAACGGGTATTATAAGGGTTCCTTTAAGGGGTCTACAAGGGATCTATAGGCTCTGGGGTTTAGGGTTTAAGGGAGAACTCAGCTCAAACCCTAAACCCGAAACCTTACATCGGTAGCCCCGTTCCCCTGGTCTTAGACCTTCTGCTTGCAGCCTGCACCATGGGTGGCAAAAGGCCCTAAACCCTAAACCCCTAAACTCCCTAAACCCTAAACCCTAAACCCCTAAACTCCCTAAACTCCCTAAACCTTGAACCCTAAACCCAAAACTCCCTAAACCCCTAAACTCCCTAAACTCCCTAAACCTTGAACCCTAAACCCTAAACTCCCTAAACTCCCTAAACCCTCAACCCTAAACCCCTAAACTCCCTAAACTCCCTAAACCTTGAACCCTAAACCCTAAACTCCCTGAACCCTAAACCCTTAACCCTAAACCCCTAAACTCCCTAAACCTTGAACCCTAAACCCTAAACTCCCTAAACCCTAAACCCTATACCCTAAGCCCGAAACGCTAAACTCCCTAAACCTTACATCGGTCCTGCTTCCAGGTCGCACGAGTTCGATCTTCTCCTGGACACATTCATTAGCTCCGATGGCATAGACGAGTGGATACACTTTACGCTTTTTGGGTTTAGGGCTTAGGGGTTAGGGTTCAGGGTTTAGGGTTTAGGGTTTAGGGGTCAGGGTTTAGGGGTTAGGGTTCAGGGTTTAGGGATAATCTTATCCACTATAAAGCTGAAAGTGTACACTTCTTGGGGCTTATGAACTCATCAACGAAGGCTCCGATGGAGTAGATGAGTCGCACCTCAACCACAACATGCAGGAGTACTTCAAGGCCATGTTGCACCAAGAATTACGGGGTTCCCTAGGAATCGGTTGAAATGTTTTCCGCATAATCCCCACGGGATATTGAAAAAATGTTAATGTTATTGTTGGGTCCAAGATGCCTATAGAATAAAGTGACAGAGCAAGTCTTGATAACCTTGTAATAATGACTGAACCCTATTATTCCTCTACTATGATTTACCCCAAACCCCCTTTTCTAATTACCAAGGCCCCTATACCCTAAACCCTAAACCCCTAAACCCTACACTCATAAGCCCAACTCCTCAGAGACCCATGGTTTCTAACAATTTCCAGGTGAAGACCGTCATACACGAGGAGGTGGGCTGGTTGGAGAGGCATCGCGTGGCTTCCTACGTGCTGATGTACTTCCAGTTCCTGCAGATGGTCCTCTACTTCAATGCTCATCCTCGCATCTAGGCTGATGTCGAAGTTTTGTTGAAGAAAGCCTACCCGTAAACCCTAAACCCAATCTTCTTTGGGTACGACGCCTTCGAAGCCGGTGGTGCGCTCGGTGAGATACTTGCTACCACTGAAGCCAAACTTCAACCGTGGCACCCGAAACTCCTATCACACTATAAACTTTCAATGCTCAACCCTAAACTCTAAACACGCAACCACAAAACCCTAAACCTCGAAACCCTAGACCCCAACCCCAAATTCTAAACAGCAGCAACTGGTTATATCATGTCTTTTATGGTTCCTGAAAATCAATACACAATGATGTATCCCGAAACCCCCGTATGAAACCCACAAAGATGCCCGATAAATCCAGAACACCCGAGGTGTCGCAATGCTGACGAAGACCGTCAAAGGTGCCTCTTATGATCTCCATAACCTTGGCCCCGAACCCTCAAGACCAACGTGTAGGCCTTAGGGTTGTTTGGGGTTTGTACGGTTGTGTGTTTTTTTTTACATTTTTAGGGGTTATTTCGGGCCTTTCAGGGGTCGTGTTTAGGTGTGGAGGGTTTCGAGCATTGTTGGGTTATTGCAGGGTTCAGGGGCGGCTCGATATTCCCCAAACCGAAGCTTGAGTTTCAGCGCAAAGCTGCACACAGGGCTTGCTTGGAGGTTCGTGGGACTTAGTAGTAGCCACAGTTATAAGTACCGTAACTGGGGTTATAATTAGTTATAAGTATAGTTACCTCAATTAGAACCGTAGTTACTAAGTCCCATGAACCTCTAAGTGAGCTCTGAGCAGTCCGGTTTGAGGAGTTTGCTGTAGTGTTCAGGGCTTAGGCCTGTAACGTACGGTGCAGCTTTCATTTAAAATGGGGGGGGGAGGTTTGGTAACAGTATCCCCCGATACTCCGTGATCTCAACACAGTACAGTACTTAAAACCCTCATCGCAGGACCCTCGTTACACAACAGCTTGTCGAAACCTTTCCAGTAAAGAGCATAATATAGGCGCTCTTCTCAACATGCTTCACTTCTTCCTGGTGTTCACAATCCTCTTCCTCATGCTCGCGTTCATGGCGCACTTCCTGTCTCCTGGCTGCTCTTTGAGGCTCAGGCTTTAGGGTTTTGGTTTCGACGTTTGGGTTTAGGGTTTAAGTAAACCCTAAACCCTAAACCCTAAAACCCTAAACCTTAAACCCTAAACCCTAAACCCTAAAACCCTAAACCCTAAACCCTAAACCCTAAAACCCTAAACCCTAAACCCTAAACCTCTCTTTCATATGTATATTTAAAGGTTAATGGCCTTAGTGGTTTGGGTCCCTCGGGGGCCTGGGCGACCACCCCGCAGGGACCCAAACCACTAATTTGGCAGTGCTTTCCGGCCTGAACACTGCCAAATTAGTGGTTTGGGTCCCTCGGACCACCCCGCAGGGACCCAAACCACTAATTTGGCAGTGTGTCCGGCGTGAACACTGCCAAATTAGTGGTTTGGGTCCCTCGGACCACCCCGCAGGGACCCAAACCACTAATTTGGCAGTGTGTCCGGCCTGAACACTGCCAAATTAGTGGTTTGGGTCCCTCGGACCACCCCGCAGGGACCCAAACCACTAATTTGGCAGTGCTTTCCGGCCTGAACACTGCCAAATTAGTGGTTTGGGTCCCTCGGACCACCCCGCAGGGACCCAAACCACTAATTTGGCAGTGCTTTCCGGCCTGAACACTGCCAAATTAGTGGTTTGGGTCCCTCGGACCTCCCCGCAGGGACCCAAACCACTAATTTGGCAGTGTGTCCGGCCTGAACACTGCCAAATTAGTGGTTTGGGTCCCTCGCTTGTTGTTGGGATGTGGCTTGCGCAACGAGTTTTAGAGTATAGTAATGGCTTCTAGGGTTTTAAGGCATAGTTGGTCGGCCTTTAAGGTTTAGGAAGAAATTGTATATTGTTCTAATGTTTTGGGATTCTATGGGCGGGTGGGTTTTTTGCTACTACACTGCTGGCCTAGTGATTTCTTAGCCCAGCTAATCGTAAACCCTAAAACCCTAAACCTTAAACCCTAAACCCTAAAACCCTAAACCCTAAACCCTAAAACCCTAGACCCTAAACCCTAAAACCCTAAACCTTAAACCCTAAACCCTAAACCCTAAAACCCTAAACCCTAAACCCTAAACCCTAAAACCCTAAACCCTAAACCCTAAACCCTAAAACCCTAAACCCTAAACCCTAAACCCTAAAACCCTAAACCCTAAACCGAGTTGAGGGTTTGGGATTTAGGGTTTGGGGCGCAGGATCGGGCTTTGGGTTGAGGCTTCAAGGGGTGTAGCTTACGTCCTGGGAATAATAAGGAAGCCGTCGTGTAGGGATTATGTACTCTATTGAGGCTGAGAGGAACGGTTTGAAGTTCTGAGCATACCGAAACGGCTTACGAAATGTAGTGGTCCGCTTGCGAGGTCCCCTAAAACAAGGACCCAGCTGCCTGCACTAAGCCAAAGTATACGGGTAGAGCCCCTCGCACTCCGGCGCGAAAGGCCAACGGGTACGGCAGCCCGCCTCCCCAAAGCCATGGGGGACTGTAGCACCCATGCCGGTAAACACCAAGCTCGAGATTTTGGGGGGTAGGTCTGGGCGGTTTGGCCGTCTTATACGGCATGGGAAGGAAAAGCCTTCTTTTGCCAGGCTTTCGCAGCTAATCGCCATAGTACGATGCAGTCGACACAGCCTTGTCGCAAGATGCTGTCGCCTACGCGCTATTCCGCAGCCGACCCTAAACCCTAAACCCTAAGCCCTAAACCCGAAACCCTAAAACCCGAACACTATCTTTTAGGCTCGGCGGCCAAATCCAGCTGTTCGGCACTTTCGGCGGGGCTTGCGAGACGCAGGCGCAGCACCGGAGAAGGAAGACATTCTTCGGCATTTGGGTTCTTCCCCGAGGCTCCAATATCCCTTAACTAAGGAATATACCTTAAATTATGGTAGGACCCCTAATACGATTCAAGAAATATTCCTTAAGTAACTTATAGATCCCTTATAGATTCCTTTAAGGGTCCCTTTACGGAGCCTTTATTCCTGAACTAAGGGATATTGGAACAGCGGAAGCCTGGGTTCTTGTTCAGGAATGTAGTTTAAGGATTTGGGGCTTAGGTTCTAGTTGCCACAATAGGGATCTATAGTACATAATATGGTTCCTTTGCTTTCTTATGCCAACTCAAGAACCCAGGCAGTTAGTGTCAACAGGAGGTTCGGCGAGGGCTTTTGGTTTGGGACGCTTAGGATTTAAGATTGGTATAGAAGCCTGAACGATGGCCAATACCGTGTCTAAGCGTACTTAGTATTTTGTGTAGTAGCCTCTGCCCCAAAGCCCCATCAAAATCATTAAGTTCATACAAGATAAGGATGCAGATTCTTATTATACCCCTTGTAGTAGCTATGTTTGAAGAGTGTCCGCCACTTCAAGGGTTCAAGGCTTTCTAGCGTGCAGGACAGGGTTTAGGGCCTGCATCGCACTTCTGGGAATCAGGGTTTAGGATTGTTGAGGGTGGAGTTTAGGACCTTCTACGGCTCAGGGCATTCAGGTTTAGGGGCTGTTGTTATGATTCCTATTGCTTTCGCTACTGGCTCTATTTCTGTCCTTCCCCATGCTAAGAGAAGTGTCCTTGTTGCCACCACCCGTACTGCTGCTATTTGTGAATGTTGTCCTTTTTCTTTGTGCTACAGCTTGTGCCGTGACAGTTTTAGTGTATTATGGTTTGTGCCAGCAGTCTCTTTTCGTTAGTAGCATTCGGGTTTGTTGTTGCTCCCTTTGGGGCTGTTGCCGTTTGTATACATTCGTATTGTGTTCTTCCAGTATTTCAACCTTTTTCGATACCTCAACCCCCCTAAACCCTGAATCCAAAGCCCTGTAAAGCTCAAACTAAAACCCTTAGGCCCCAAGGCCTGAACCCCAAACAGCCCTCATGATAAACGGCTCCAGGTGGGCTTCCTTTGGGAGAGTTGTTTAAACTGACTGAATCCTGAACCCTAAACCCTAAACCCTAAACAAGCAAGGACTTTGGCTAAGCAATGGGCCTCGACTTGCAGAGGGGTCCCGAATCAAAGGGGAAGAGGAGGGACCCTTAATGGGGACCCCTACCCTACAATGGGCTATATAATCGGTATATAATCGCTATATTAAGGTTCTATACCTAGGGGTCCCCATTAAGGGTCCTTTTCTGATTTAGAGCATGTTCCTTTGGTAAAAGTCTCGCGCAACCCAAGAGCCTAAGCTGTAACTCGTTTGCTTATTCAGCTCGGGAGTGCTATCGTGGCAGAGCAGAGGGACGTCAACACCACTTGAACTCCCAAACTTTAAACCCTAGACCCTTGAACCCCAAACCCTAACCCCTAAACCCAATAAAAGGCGAGGAATTAAAAGTCCGATGCACTTTAAAAAAAGCCCAATAAAGCCCCCGTTCCGAACCCCCCAAGACCCCAGGCCCGTAAACCCCCGAACTACCTCGCCACTCCCCAGTCAGCCAGATCTTCTAACACCCTTCAGTTGGGGAATATACCATAAATCATATCAGCGATCCTACTTCCATTGAAGGCATATTGCTTTTGAGGGATATTGGAGTCCCCCAAACCCCAAACCTTATAGATCTCCTATAGATCCCTTAAACGAACCCATAACGAAGAAGGATTTTGGAAGACATGGCCTTAAACCGTAAACCCTTATAAACTCTAAACCCTAAAGCTTAAGCTCTAAACCCTAACCCTAAACCCTAAACCCTAAACCCTAAACTTGGGGGCAGGTCAGGATGCTCTTTGGCGAGTTCATCTTTGTGGACGGGGCGGAGCAGCTCTCAGGCCGTTTCTGCTAGGGTTGAGGGTTTAGGGTTTAGGGTTTAGGGCTAAACCCTAAACCCCTAAACCCCGAAACCCCTAAACCCCGAAACCCTAAACCCCTTAACCATATGGTTCAGAACACTTCAAGAACCCTGAACGGAGCCCTTGTCGGAAGCCTTCAGGGCTCCCTTATAGGAACCTTTTATACCCTTTAGAGGAAGCCTTAAGGGTTCTATAAGGGTTCCTTCAAGGGATCCTTTAAGGGCCCTATTATGGCATCCTTTTAAAGGTTCCTTTATAGGTTTCTGGAAAGAACCATTGTAGTGTAGTAGTCTAGAACCTTTTTCGGACCATTGTAGGACCCTTGACTTGGAGGATCGGAATTAGCAAGTAAGGTGATAACTGCCTTAGTGGAAGTTACTAAGTCTCATGAACCTTTAAGTCAAGGATTCCTCAAAACGTTCCCTTTCAGTGTTCCCACTGGGGCCTAGTTGTAGGTTTTTTGCGTGCGGTTGCGCTGTGCACAGCACGTGCGACGGCTGAGAGCTGACAACCCTGCCAAACGCCGCGGGCGCAACATAACATCTGTAAGCGGCCGAACTGCCACCGGCGTCGCAGCGGGCTCCGCATCCGAGGTGGTGCCTGCCAGTGTGTGGAGCACGGCGGTCCGTGGCCAGCCGGGGCCCTGCTAAACATACTCCGTGCAGCGACGAATGGTCAGCCGGAGAGGAGCGCGCTGGCAGTCACTGAACGCGACGGGCCACTGCGTGGGCAAATGCTGCGGCAGCACCACGGCCATCCAAGCACTACGCACGGAGTGATTGGCCGAGCCGGAGTGTCCCTTGGGGAGCCCTGAGATGAGTGCCGTGCAGGTACTGACACGCAATCGAGACCTTTTTCTTGATATAGTCAAAACTCCAGTTTTGACACCGCTGCTCTCAAGCCGACTCTGCTTGAGACGCTTCAAGAACCTGGATAGGACCTTGAGAGACCACTATAGCGTAGTAGTCTAGAACCTTTGTCGGACCAAGAGAAGGACCCTTGACTTGGGAGGTTCATGGGACTTAGGAATTAGAAAGCAAGGTTATAGCTGCCTGAATGGAGGTTACAAGTAATTACTAAGTCCCATGAACCTTTCAGCAACGGATTCCTGAACGGGTTCCTTTTCAGTAGTGTTCCAAAAAGGTTGCCCCATCTGTTTCTTTGATGAGGGTTTTGGGGTTTAGGAGTTTGGGGTTGGAGTTGGAGTTCAGGGATTCGGGTTTGGGGTTGCTGGTTTCATTGGGGTCTAGGGTTTAGGGTTTAGGCCTTTCGGGCTTCGTTGAAGAACTTGCTGCTTCATGTGTGACACTTACAGGTGTTACAGGGTTGCACTGTGCACAGCACGTGTGACCGCTGCGGGCTTGCAACCCTGCCGAATGCCGCGTGCGCAACATAACATCTGTAAGCGGCCGAACTGCCACCGGCGTCGCAGCGGGCTCCGCATCCGAGGTGGTGCCTGCCAGTGTGTGGAGCACGGCGGTCCGTGGCCAGCCGGGGCCCTGCTAAAGCGACTTCGTGCAGCGACGAACGCTCAGCTGGAGAGAAGCGCGCTGGCAGTCACTGGACGCCACGGGCCACTGCGTGGGCAAATGCTGCTGCAGCACCACGGCCATCCACGGAGTGATTGCCCGAGCCGGAGCGTCCTTTGGGGAGCCCTGAGACGAATGCTATGCAGGTGCTGACACGCAAGAAAGAGTAGCAGTAGAACAAATGCTCGAAAAACCCTGTATCGAGAGATTTTCTTTCTTGATATAGTCAAACTTCAACTTTTGACACCGCTTCCCCACAAATGTGTGATAGTTGAATGAGCCCCCGAAGTGGGGAAAACCGCGGAGTTGCTGCTGCTCAAGGCAGCTCCGAGGGCAGCCAAGCATCTAGGATGGCAGTCCGCTTGGCAACCGAACTTGGTGCACCGCAGCTTGCTGGACCTTGCTGAGATTGGCGCCGTGCTGAACAACAGCCACCACGTGGCCGTGCTCAAGCAAGCCCAGTCTCTGGCAGCTCGCTGTCAGCGTGCCACGCTCGGGAGGTTACTTCAGCGTCAGGTTCTGGGACCGGTGAGGGCTGGATTCAGAGAGCTACATTGCTGGCGCTCGCGCAGCAGCCCGTTTGGTGGCTTGTCTTGGAGATCCAAACAAACCTCCCTGCTCATGGACCCCACCGGGCAGGCAAACTCGCGTGGGATGTGCGGGCTTTGGATGTAGCCACGCATTTTCCATGCGATCGCAAGAAGTTTGACCTGTGAGGTACAACTGGTGCAACTCGAGGGCTCAATCCTCTTTTAGGGTGCCCACGACTGACTGCCAGAGGAATCCTAATGCCATCAGAGTCATCGAGTTTTCAACGCGGGGCAAGCGAAAGCGTTGCAGAATCCATGGGGCGGGCGATGCGCGCTGATGTGTGCTGGGTTCTTTCAACAGCTCCTTGAAGCATTCCTTGAGGCGGTTCTGCAATGTCGAGAGTTGAGGGCCTCAAGTTGAGGGGTTTAAGCTTTAGGTGGTATAAGTTGGGGTTGACGGTCTAATTAGGGGTGTAAGGGGGCCTGGATGGGACTGGGTATGCGCTATGAAGGCTCGGGGCTTGGAAGTTAAGGCTAGGGTCTTAGCCCAGAAGCCGATATCCGAAAACTTAATCTTCAACCTAATTGTACCCTAAAACCTTAAACTTCAAACCCATCACCCTAAACTCTATCAACCCAAGGTTGGGGGACTTTGGGAGAAAAAGTTGGAATCATGCCGAAGCTTGGGTTTACTTGAGTCATAAGATGTTCGAAGGAGCTAAACCAAAAACCCTAAACCCTAAACCCAACAAAGTTGATTGTTTGGGGGGCAAGTGGACCCTAAACCCTCAGCCCAGAGCAAGTCGCCAGGTCTATCGCTGGCCATGTATTGGCTTTATGCGGCCTCGTTCATGCTGATTCTGGGTTCTTGATAAGGAGCTGAGTTTCAGTTACCATAGTAAGGAAGCCATATGATTTACTATAGATCCCTGTTATGGTAACTGAAGTTAGATTCTCTGACAAGAACCCAGGATTGTCTTCTTCACCCTCTTGAACTTCTTCTTGGCGATCGTGGTTGATGCTTTTGTAGCCGTCAAGGACGAGTACGACAAGCTCCACTGCACTTACAACTTCATCTACGACGTGGGCATGATCCCCAGGACACTCCTTTAGGGCTCTGGGTTTCGGTTTGGGGACCCACCGTGATTTCGTGTGTTCCCGACATGCGCACGGAATCAGCCCATCCCATCGGTACGGTAGCTCGCGAAGTTATGTTCTTGTGGAGTCCATGATTTTGTGTGATGTGTCCCGTCGCCATCTAGAGCTTTTACAACCCTTAAAAGCAGAAAATCTGAGACTAAAAGTTAAAAACACCGAAGCTATATGGCTTGCAATCATAAATTTCAAGACAGTACTACACCCTACACCCTGCACCTCAATACCTTAAAGTTTAAAGCCCTAAACCTCAACTTGTGAACCACAAACCCTAAAACCTTGAACGCGTCAACCCTACACCCGAAGCCCTCAACCTTAGACCCTAAACCCCAGACCTGACGCCGTAAACCAAACGAGCCCTTGGGTCCACGAAAACCAAGCCTCAGGCACAGTGCAATGTACAGGTTTAGGGTTGGCAGGGTGGCTTAGGGTCTTTCGTTTGTTTGCATTATTATAAGGCCCCCAACGCCGCAGTCTACTTATGAATGCCCCTATACGGGACTTTCGGGCTGAGGGTCAGGAAACGAACTTTGGAGTTTCGGATCTAACCATCAGGAGCTCAGATACATCCTTATTCAAAAAACATCCGTATAGATCCTTCAAAGGAGCCTTACGCTGAACCCCAAATCCTTGACCCAGGTAAACCCTAAACCCTAAACCCTAAACCCTAAACCCTAGACCCTAAACAGGAGCTTGTTCATGCACTTTAAGCTCAAGCTTCCGGGGCGCAAGAAGTTCATCTCCTACCTGGAAGAATCGCTCGAGAACCTCAAGGAGGCCATTTATGGCAACTTCACCTTTTCCTAGGCAGAGGTGACAAAGAGCGAGCCATTAAAAAACACAAGCATGCACACAGACACAGGTGCTCCCGCACGCGCACATGAATGTGCACGCCCGCACACAGGCATGCACGCACGGACGCGCGCATGCACGCACACGCACACGCACACGCACGATCAGGGAGTGCTTGCAAAACGCACTTCAGTAATTTCGAGTCCAGGCGCGACTCAATGTTTTTTGTTTTGAGGACTATTCCACTCCAGCAGTGTTCTTACAACCTGTAGTGGCGCGAACAGTATCTGCACTAGCACAGCTACTACAACAACAAGTACTAGTGCTGCTGCTACTTGCACCACGACGACGACTATGTCTATTAGCACTGCTACTACAAACACCACTACCATTACTACAGCTAAGCCGCAGCCAGTGCGGCGCGCTGCCGCGGCCGCTGCCGCCACTGCCAGTGCCACTGCCACTGCCGCTGCCCACTGCCGCCGCCCTTGCCACTGCCCTGCCTTTGCCACTTCTGCTGGTGCTGGTACTCCTACTTTTACTACCCTTACCCTTGCCCCCGCGCTACCGTTACCCCTACAGCTAGTACGACTCGTGCTACTATTTACTATTCCTTCTCCTGGTGCTGCTCCTCCTGCTCCTGCTCCTGCTCCCGCTCCTGCTCCTGCTCCTGCTCCTGCTCCTGCTGCTCCTGCTCCTGCTCCTGCTCCTGCTCCTGCTGCTGCTCCTGCTGCTCCCGCTCCCGCTCCGGCTCCGGCTCCTGCTCCTGCTGCTGCTCCTGCTCCTGCTGCTCCCGCTCCCGCTCCGGCTTCGGCTCCTGCAGCTGCTAGTGCTAGTCCTACTGCCACTGCTACTGCTCCGACTGCCAGTGCTTGTGGTACCGGTACTGGTGCTGCTACTGCAACGGCTACTGCTACTCCTTCTATAACTGCTTTTGCTACTGCTGTTGCTGGGGCGACTACTGTCACTGCTATGCGCGCTAGATCCCCTTCTGACATGACTGTCACCGCAACCTGATTCCATCGCCCAAACCTTAAACCCTTAAACCCGAATCCCCTTATCCCTAAGTCCTCGCGGAGCAGGTGAAGAAGCAAGCGGAGCAACAGGCACGCAAGAAAGTTGGGCACAAGGGCGTGCGTCATCAGGAGCCTCCCCCCGCAGAGCCGTCGGGGGGACCTCTGACGATCCTGAACTCAATTGAGTCTTAAGTAGCAGGAGTGAGGGTCCTGGCTTGAGAGTTTACATACATGCTCGCGGGCATCCTGATTTAGATTTTGAGTGCAAGATGGAGGGATTCAATGTCAAGGACATATAGAAGTTTAGGGTTTCGGGCTCTTTCGCCTTGCGGTCGTCCAGAGCTGCCAAGGATGCCGGCCAAGAAAATGTTGGAGGAGTTTCCGGGCTTTACAGAGGCGGGAGGGCGCACACAGAAGTTAGGGTTAAGGACCCGAAGGGCTCAGAGTTCACGCAGAAAGCATACCCTACCAAAAAACCCTAAACCCTAACCCTAAGCCCTAAACCCTAAACCTTAAACCCTAAACATAGGTTAAGGAAGTTATTAAACCCCAGGTCTGCCAACGTATACCCTAAGCCTCATATCCGTATAGATCCTCAAAGGAACCCTTTCAGGAACCTCTCAAGTAAGACTTTAACGAACCCTAGAGGCCCCAGATGTCTAGGTCCATTGAAAGCCCAGCCTTTGACACTCTCAGTTCCAGCTACCCTTGATGATACAAATCCTGCATTACTCATAATAAGGAGTTTACCATATTGCCCATAGGTGAGGGTCTGTAAGGTTACTTGGAGGTTCATTGGACTTAGTAAGTACAGTGTTAAGTTCCTTACCTGGAGTCATAACCAATTATAAGTATAGCTACCTTGTTTCTAGCCATAGTTACTAAGTCTCATGAACCTCTAAGTATGCAGGATTTCTATCATCAACCGTAGTGAAACCTGTGACCTGGCCACATTCTAATCCTTGAAGCATGAGCTCCAAGAAATTTTCGCTCCCCTAAACCCCGACACCCCTAAACCCCATACACCCCTCAACCCCTAAACCCCTAACCCCCCAAACCCCAAAATCCCCACACCCCTTAACTCCTACCATTCAACCCTAAACGGTAAAGGCAGTAGTTTTGGTACATCAAAGGGGACAAGGAGGGACCCTTAATGGGGACCCCAACCCTATACTGGGCTATATAATGGGTATATAATAGCTATATTAAGGGTATATACCTAGAGTCTTTATTAAGGGTCCCTCTTTTTACCCTTGGAGTACAGGCCAGCCTCTGCCAGTTGCTCTGCCGGGTTGAGCGCCTGAGCTCCACTCCATTGATCTTCTACGTGGAAGAGGCATACGAAGCTCGAGTGGTTTAGGGTTTAGGGTTATATAACGTGAAGCCCTACGTTTTAGGGTTTAGGGTTTAGGTTTTGTAAACCCTAATAACCCTTGAACCAGTACCCTAGACCCTAGATCCCCCCTTTTCCCAGAAGCCTACATCCTAAACCGAAAACCCTGCCCCTAACCCCAGTGCCCTATAGTGCTTCAGGGCCTTGAAGGCCGCCCCTTTAAAATCAAGCGGCCTTCGGTTTAGGGAGTTTAGGGTTTAGGGTTCAGGGTTTAGGGGCCTTCTCCCCTTGTTGTCCGAAAAAGGTCATCGTGTAACAATACCGAAAACCGTATTGAAATCACGAAGCTTTCCGTATGAACCCCAAAGAGTACCCTGCACAGGAACCCTTTTGGAACCTTTGGCAGGGAACTCTTACATGGTACCCTCTACGCACTGTTGGGGTCCAAGCCTTGGGGTCCGGATTCAGGGCTCCGGACTTTGGGTCGTGGAGTGTTAAGGTTGACGTAAACCCTATACAGCCTGACCTAATGGGGATTCCTTATCATGGTTTCTTTATATGGGAGTTTCCGACAATAGGGGACCCTAATATAGTACCATGACCTTAAATGCGAACGGACTGCGATGCCTTGTCAAGTTCTAAGGTGTCACTATAAGAGCTGTGAGCAAGACCGTGTAAAGTGCAAGAGAAGGGGGCACGCTACGCGTCCCTCGACTCTAAGGGGGCATGCTACGCATCCCTCATCTTTACCTTTCTATGTGACCGCCAACGCAACGTTTGGCTCAAGTCAATGCCCATAGCTAAGTGCTATATGTGTCTTCTATCCTGAGCAATCAGAGCTATCCCGTTGCACAGACGAACCGCCGCCGGCAGTGAGTGCAAAAGGAACGGCCGCCGGTTCTGCCTGCATAGGATTGCACGTGTGGAAGTAAGAGGGAGAGACAGGGTCCAGTCTGTGGAGAGTGCTAGCCAGCCACACCTACATTCATTACAGCTCTGGTGGGGAGAGCAGCAACCAAGTCGAGATCAATCCCCCACGCAGGTTATCAGCCGTACGCGGCTCTGCCTTTCTACAGCAACGACTACTTGATCTACTACGACCACAATGAACTCAGGATCAAGTCAAGATACGACAATGACTTTCGGTGCCGATGTGGCAGCGCCAGCCGTTGGTGAGTCAACAGCTGATGACACAGTGGTGCAATCCGTTGATAGCTCCACGGAAGATGACAAAGGTCAATCTTCTGCGCTTGCCATTGCAAAGGCAGTTCCCAAGGGGAAAGCAAAGAGTCTACCAAGAGCATCTACGCCTTCGCGTCCGACATCCACAGGTTCGAGGACGGGCAAGGCTTCAGAACGACGGGCCGAAGCGTCTGGTTTTCAGGCACCTCGGACTACGTCCAGGGCCAAGGACAAAGGAGTCAAGACCTTGGAAAAGAAGTCAAGACCATCATCTTCGAGAAGCTCTTCAGCACGATCGAGGACTTCGGCTACTCGTGGGCGTGACAAGTCCATGACTTGGAATCGGATGGTTACCAATCAACCACGCGACGCTGACGATCTGGACATGACTCTGGATACGATTCCTGCACGTGGTGATGCGTCATCCGTGGCCACGCCTGCAATAGCTGATGGTCCGAATGCCTACCAGGAACTGACGATTTCGCAACAGTTCGAAGCATCGAACCTTGCACAGCAGATGTACTATCGCAGTCAGGTGCAAGAATACGAAGGAATCGTCCAGACCCTGATGGACAAGATCAAGGAGATGCAACAAGAAGATGAAGGATCTGGAATTCGCATTGAAGAATTGGAACGACAACGTGACCATGCATGCTTAGCCATGAGGCACATCAACAATGTCAATCAGGAGATGAAGCGAGACTATGAAACAGCTTTGTTTCGCATGGATGAACAGAACTCTGCTCAACAACGTCAAGCACATGCCGTTGCCGAGGAGTTAGCTCAACAGCTACACGTGTTCCGCACGGAGGCAGCCACCAACTTTGTGCAGTTGGAGGCAAGAGCGCAAGGCGACGGTGAGCTTATGGCACGTGAGTATGAGCGTCTGACTCATGAACTTCATGAACACGCCAGAGAGAACTTGGTCCTCCGGTCAAACACAGCAAGTTCGGAACAAGCCTTACAAGCAATGCAGGAACGATTCCACTTGGTCAAGAACCAGGAGTTGCGGGCTGTGAACGAGATCCAAGGGCTAGCTGGAAACAGCGCAGCCATTGAACAAGAACGATTTCGGCTTCGCGAACGTCTTGGTGAAGAGGAAGAGTACCGCAAAATGGCTGTGAAGAGGATGCAAGAAGCAGAGGATCGACTTCATCATAATGAAGATCATGCAAGGCGATCATTGCCTACCTTGCACGACGAGCTGAGTGAACTCAGGAAAACGCTCAAAGCACAAGAAGATCTTCAAGCGAGGACACGCAGCGAATTGGAGGCAGCGCGAAACTCCAATCAAGGAGGAGCGACGCGACCTTCGAGCATGCCCATGTCTTCGAGGACTACTGAGTCTGGCTGGGAGCACGTAGGAAAGGAAGTAATGCCTGCATTTTCCGTAGGAGATGAGGTACGATCCCCTGAAATACGGTCCCCAAGTCAAGTTAGTCCAGTCGCCAAAGAGAAGTTCGCATTCTCGGAATCGGACAAGGACAAGAACCTTGTGATGGATGGAATTCCATTCACCGGTGGAAACTTCTTCACTGGCCGCAGTTCAATGCCAATCGTGGCGGATGCAATGCCCGAGCACTACGTGCCAGGTATTAGCAGCCCAGCACTTGCGCGTTCCACGCCTAGTGCAGCCACTTTGTTCGGCATACCAAGCGGATTTCATGGGAAAAGTGATGCGGCAGCCGTGCGTGATCGACAGCTACGCGAACTCTTGGGGGATCGCGGGATGTTGGGATCGAAGTCCACAGCATCGGCCAGCTCCTCAAGACCTGTTGGCATCGACGGTGTTACCGCATCTACGAAGGGCAACGACCTCGTTGGTCCCCCTGTCGCCTATGACGATTCTATCCATGAGGCAAGGAGGCGTCAGATCGAGAAAGAGATCGCGGAACAGTACGAAGAGAAGATTGCTGATCTGCGAAGTGAAGTACTCAAGGCCCAGAAAGCCGAACAACGTCTCAGAGCTGATCGTGATGAGTGGAGATTATTCGCTGAAACGATTCAGGAAAACCATGGAGACGATGACGGTGATGAAGCTGGCGACGAGAACGGAGAGGACGAGCATGATGAAGGAACCGGCACGGGGTATGACCCTCCAGATCCGCCTGACGATGATGATGATAAGAAGAAAAGCGGTGGAGGCAAACCTGAATCGGATCCTGGTTCGCATGCACGCGATCCTGATGGAGATGCGGATCCTGAAGTCACAGAGGTGAGAATTTCCAGGAGGGAAGCCGACAAAGTGACCGTTCCTCCATGGCCTACTCTCACTCATCTCAACAACTGGCGATCCGTGTGCACGGCCAATGTCTTAGGAGCATCAGCCGACCCACATCATGAGGACTGGATGTTATGGCTGGCACCAGCGTTCAACCCATTCCCTGATGTCGAAGCATTGAATGATTCAGGACACAAGAAGTTCAAGAGCATAGACGTCAAATTGGGGATCGCCATGGTCGCAATGCTACGTGCCGGTGGTGACAAATCAGCTGACCTGTACCTTGAGGTGAACCGGAAGGCCAACGATTACATCAGCAGGCCTGAAGTGAAGATCATCAAAGGACGACAAGTCATTGCGATGATGTATGAAAGTTTTCGAACGCATGATCGTCTTGACATGATCATCACTCTTGAGTATTTGGTGAAGCTCCAGTACCAAGGCGACAACAAGCTTCATACGTTCAAGCAGACGTGGTTGGAAGTTCTGGGACGGATGAGGCCAGAGGACATTCCATCCAAAACAGCTCTCCGTGATTGCTTGTACAGCAAGATCAAAGACTCGCCCGCAATGAAGATGGAGTTGGGTATGCATTACGAACACTTGCCCTACAATCATGAAGACCGATCGTACGACAACCTGATGAAGATCATTGATCGTACTATCATGCGGAGACGAGAACAGTCAAATCTCACTCAGACCCAAATTGGCTTGCGCCAGATGCTTGAGGGCAAGGATTTGCTTGCTGCACCG